TTGCCAATTACATAAAAGTGTTTTACATAAAAAATTGGGGGTTAGAGAGAAGGTACAGGAGGTAAGGCTCTTGCTTTGCATGCCTCTGATAGCCTTAACCCTGATGCAGATCTCCAGTACTACCTACGGTTTCTGAACACTGCCAGCGGGCACTCCTGAGCAGAGCCAAGAATAGCTCCTGTATGCTGCCAGATGTGGCCCAAATATTCCCTGTCTCTCCCTACCCCTACCCGCACCCCGCCATTTTCATGGAACTTTTGTGAAGTTTCTATAAATCTGGGCATCAAATTGATTACACTACTGTTCAGATGAGGTGGCGAACTGGGGCTCTTACTTAAATTTTCAGATGACTAAACATTAATGATCAAACACTGATCTGGAAGTTCGGATTACTCCAGTGTATGCAGATTTAGAAGAGATCTTTGCTTGCATTTTAGCTATCTTTAGTCTGTTTCTCATTTTCCCATGTTGCTGCCTACTTGCCCCAGGCAGCTGTCCTCTTTGTGTGAGTTTTCTTTGTCTTTAGATGTTAGTTATTTATACATGTCTGAACCTTTTGTAGTTTATCTTGTAAGACTGAATAATGTGCTGGAGAGATTACCAGGGTTCAGGAGCCAGTCATTGCTGGGTGCAGCCCTGGAGGCTCCCAAGCAGGGATGCAGAGGACATACCTTGGCATCACAAGGCCCAAGTAACACCACATCCTTGACCCTGACTTTGAAACTGTACCCCAATTGCTCCAAGAATCGTGAAGAGGGACCCTGACTTTGAAACTCTACCCCAATTGCTCCAAGAATCGTCAAGAGGGACCCCCTGGTCCTATTGACTACCACTTGCTATCTCGCTCCTCCCCAGCAGGGAAAAAAAAAGGGAATATTAAGCACAGATTTAGTTGGGTAAGAGAATAAGAATACAGCCACTTTTTGATATCTATTAGTAAACATAGTTAATCTGTCTCTGGGTCATATTTTGGCTTTTAATCGATTTGAGAATTTTAATGAAAATCACTGGGAAAGATCACTAGTGAGTCCTAGGAAACAAAGGTTTTGTTATATTTTATGGCTTAGGTACCTGGAAGTACATGGGAAGAACATTGATTTTTGCTTTTTAATTCATATCCTGCCAGGGATAGGTAGAAGGTAGAATGTTTAAATAAAATATTTTTATTTGTAAAATTATGTGTGATGAGAATAAAAAGATGAGTGACTGGGTGAAAATATTTGTGAAAGACTCTGGATAGTATTATTATGATTCTTTTTAAATCTACAAAGAATTTTTAAGACCCAATAAGAAAACAGATAATCCAACTGAAAATGAGCTAAAGACCTTAACAAATACTTTGGAAAAAATAAATACAGATGGCAAATAAACATGTGAAAAAATTCTTCTATATTGTCAGGGGAAAGTAAATGAAAAGAACATTGAAATATACTCTATCTGTTAGCCTGGCTAAAATCTGAAACACTGATATACACAATTTCAGCAAGGACGTGAAGCACAGGATAGCTCAATTATGGCTATGGAGTAGCGCACTGGTACAGCCACTTTGGAAGACAGTTTGTCATTTTCCTATGAGATTTAACACATGCTTACTATACAGCAGAGTAGTTACATCCGTTGGTATTTACCCACAGAAGTTGAAAATTTGGTCCGTACAAAAAAATTACACAGCATGTTTATAACAGCCGTATTTGTAGTTGTCAAAACTTGGAAGCAACCAAGATCTAAGTGAATGCGTAAATAAACTGATATGTTTATATAATGGAAGATTGTTCAGAGCCCCCGAAAAAAAACCTATACAAGCTCAAGCCATGAGCTTTTTTTTTGAGCAGTAAAAATATTTACACTGATACTCTCTTGACAAATACATGTCATCTATAAATTTATCCAAATCTGTAGATTAATCAGTCATAACAAGTATATTACTTTAGGTGAGGTACGTTGGTGATGGGGGGGGGTGCAGATAGTACACACTAGTGCTCAAGGTATACAGGTGAAATCTCTGAGCTGCCTTTTACATTTTGCCATTAACCGGGGCTGAAACGATAGCACAGCGGGTAGGGCGTTTGCATTGCACGCAGCCAACCCGGGTTCGATTGAGCATCCCATATGGTCCCCTGAGTACCGCCAGGAGTAATTCCTGAGAGCAGAGTCAGGAGTAATCCCTGTGCATCGCCGGGTGTGACCCAAAAAGCAAATAAATAAATAAATTTTGCCATTAACCTAAGCACACTCTTAAATAGTCATAAAGGAAACAACATATTAGAAATATCCTCTGCTGGTGCAAATTTCAGGGCATTGGAGGAAGAAAGAAATTTCATGAATATAGTATTAAGACAAGTCAACATCAGAAAAAAATGGGAGCATCTTATCCTATCAATTTGTCCTAATTTAGGATGTCTTAGTGGTAGGGAACTTTTTAATGATGGAAGCTTTTTTATATAGAGTATCCTGATTATCTGTATCCCATGCATTGTATCCATACTTATTTGAATTAATTTACTGTCACTTGTTGTTAGAGTCTATACTAGTGTGACCATTCTCAGTTTTTTATTTTTGTTTTTGTTTTGTTTGGGGGCCCTGGCAGTTCCCAAGGTTCATTTCTGGCTTTGTGCTCTGGGATCATTCATAGCAGTGTTCAGGCGACCATATGGGGTGCCAGGGTTTGAACCTGAGTCAGCCGAGTACAAGGCAAACACCCTTACCTGCTAGTCTAGCCATTCTCAGTGGGGTCTTGTGAATGGAATTAGGCCTACATAAAATAAGTGAATATTTCCTTTAGTCTCTTCAGTATAATGTGGTGCATGGTTATAGCTTTCATACATCCTTGCATGGTAAAAGTGGTTATTCTGAACAATGGGTGTCTTAGCACATTCAATCTTAATTCTATTATAAGAATTTCTCATGTGAGAAAGATTAGAAAATACTTTATAAATATGTGTGGAAAATAAAATTTTGAGATCTTAGAATTTTTTAGAATTTTGCCCTAAAATGTAACTGATAGTTTAACAGGGTCTTAATTTATAAATTGGGCATAAAAATTTTCCTTCTAATCTTTTTTTAATTTTTAATTTTATAAAGTAGTTCACAGTATTTGATTATATTTAATATTCAAAAACCTATCCCACCACCATTACACCTTCTCACCATCATAATTTATTTATTTTCATCCCAAATCCCAATCCCTGCCCCCAAACAGAACCGACATAATATATTTCCCTCTAAGGTTAGTTGTCTCCTACTTTGAATCCCATCAAAGGTGGTGCAGTACTCTTGGACTATGGGTAGGGTGTGTTCTGTGAAGTGTCTGCGCGGTCCAAGCGTCATGTTATGCACCCTTCTGGAAGAGAAGGACATCTGATCTGGATGGTGGCGGATGATGAAATTATCTGGCACCAGCCAGGGGTGGCTATGGGCATGGCTGCTGAGTTGCCGGATGTTTGTACATAAATCTATGATCAGGAAATTTTGGTCTAGCTTTTAGGAGAGAACACATTAAATTAGTATCTTTATTCTGATTTAACCTGGATTCATTCTATAATTTACTATTTGATTTAATCATTGTACCAATTCCATAATGTAAGTAATATTACTAGTAGCTTATATATAGAGAGATATATACATATATATATATATATATATATATATATATATATATACAAACACACACATATTCGAAAATAGAAACCCTGAGAATGTAATTTCTCAAAAGTAAAATAGAACTGGGATTTGAAATCAAGCTGTTTGGTTCCAAATCCTGATTAACCATCATACTAGAATGTCTTTTGTGCTATTACAGTATTTATCCCTTGAAAGACACATACTACTGCATGAGTTATTTCTCTATTGTTTATCATTAACATTAATATTTTATGAATAAAGAACACACATGTACAGAGTTCTATTGTAGTTGTGGTAAATGTAGACTTCTTTTTTATTCTTATTGAACCATTAATTGATTTTGAGGCATGATTTTTTTTTTGGTGGGGGAAAGGGGACAGGGGCAGGGTTGGACCACCCAGCTGTGCTCAGTACTTACTCTTTACTTGCTCAAGGAATTAACTCCTTGCAGTGCCAGGTAAAGAACCAGGGCTGGCAGCACACAAGGCAAGTGACTTAACACTTGTGTTTCCAGTCCACTTAATTGATTTGACATGCCTTTGCTCAAGAAACACTCTTATATTGCATACAGTAAATTATGAGGTTTTTTAAAAACTATTTTTTAAATAAAGAGAATCAGTTTTACATTATATGGGATGTTGTATGGGAATAGAGAAGCAGCCTTAAAATGTGTGCTTAACGAGGAACTATAAAATTCACGAAGTACAATAATTTACTATAAGATCTGTGTTGACTAGAGCTTTTTAACTTCGGTTTAGGTAGAATAAATGGATTTTAATATTATTAGCATATAAGTACTTGGGATTTTAAAGACTAGTATAAAAAATTATAATGATATATTATTTTGACTAAGGTACTTTCCTGTTAAATTTAATGGTATGAAATGAGTCTTTTAGCCTAGTAAAGAAGGATATTTTTATAACTGTGATAAAATCAGTTTTCAAAATAGGGGTTTTAAGTGGAAAAATTCTCTGGTACATTATATATTTTGAAATGTTCAAACATGATGAGAAAGAACTGTAGCAGCTTGTTTCAAGGGAAACAAATCTATTAGGGTATATAGTACTGTAATGGTGTCTTTTTAACCTTCTCTTTGCTTGGATTGCATTAACAATGTCTTAATGACTCTTATAACCCTGCTAGAGGTAAAACTTAAGTGTTTGTTCTTGGTTTTAGCTGTTGAAAGCCATCAAAATTGTACTTGAAAGACTATCTTTCCTTATGAATTCTTAATCATGGCTGAGGCAAGCATTAGATTAGATATAAATCTAGAAGCTTCAGGAAAGATAAACGGTGTTAGGTATATATCTGTTTTTTCAGTAAGCAAAAACCAGAAAGGAAAGAGTCAGAAGAGGTAAGGACTGTGGTTAATGTTGCAAAAATAGAAGAAAGAGGAGAAGATAAAAGGCTTATGTTTTTGAGAAGGAGGAGAAACTGATTTTTTTTTTCAATCTCTAAGTATTGATCTTGCTTTGTTTTCCTAAAGCTGCGAGTCAGTGCAGGGCATTATAGCTTTGATTAAAAGGTAAAAATCTTAGTGAAATAGCCTTCCTTGTTTGTCAGTTCATTTAAAAAGCCCAATGCGTGGCTTAATGCCTTTTCTGCCAGTCTCTTTCTGTTTATTGCTGATTTGACAGCCTCTGGTCCTTTTCCTTTGCTGTTAAATGTGTGTGTCCTTTGTTTGTGCTGGTGGATTTTGCTACATTTGTACGTGAGAGAAAAGCCTGTCATTGCCAGTCTGGTCTAATTATCCTTCTGGGTGAGCATATACATTAAATAGACCTTGTAAGCCATGAAAGAAGAGAGCTCAAAACAGCGTAGATTTTCTTCATGTACTATGGTTTCGCCTGTTTTATTTCCTCCACGAATTGATGGCCGAAAGCTTGTCCGGAATGCTTCGTTTGGAGGATACAATGAACTTTCTCCTTCATTGGCAGGTTTGTTTGTTTAATCTTGTATTTCTTTCTTAATTTCTTTCAGATGTTTTATTAAAACAGACTAGGTATTTTAATATCTTAAAACTGCTTCATTCAAACAAAAACAATCCTAAGGTGAGAGGTTAGGTTTTCATCACTGATGTTTATATGACTTGACTTGGTCCATTTTTTCTCAGTCGCTAAAGCTCAAACTTGAGAACTAATGAATGATTCAGTAAAGTATGAGTTTTGAGTGCCTAGAGTCTAAATGTTTACTTTGATTATGGAAGTACATATTATGACCCATTAGTAAAATTAGAACCTTTCCTATACTTGAATAAATGCAGAATTTTATAAGAAATTGCCCTGAGGTTTTTGCAGTTGGAACCCAGGTTTAAGATTAATATACTCGTTCATTTTTATAATTTAAATTGATGTTTATTTTACGCTTTAATGTCTCAGCTCCAACTATAGTAAAGTTGTCTGCCCAAGTATAATTTTGAAATGCTGTGCTACTTATTGATGGATGTATTTCCTGCGATTAGTTTTTCCTAAAAAACTGTTATGCTAATTTTAGGGTAGTGTTTATTGAATAAAATTAGGCATCTGACGGGTATGATTTGATGTTAAAAATTTGTCAGTGAGATATCTAAATTGATCTTTTGAAAAAATTGATCTGTTTTTTGTTTTCCCTTTTTGAAAATTTATCAACTAAATGTCTATATATTTTGAAATGTAAATATCTTAAAAACTTTAAACTGCTATATTAATATATTTAATCCATTTAACTTAATTTTTATTTTAAAATAAAAATGGCCTCAGCAGTTAATTATAGCGAAGGAATAATCATTGAAACAAGTACATGCTTTAATATCTTTTCCTGACACTCATTTTGTTACATTTGAATCCGCCTTCCTATTTTTACATTAATATTTATTTTTGGATTTTTTTGAATATTCATATCAATAGGTGTAATATGCAGTCTCTTGAAATAGTGAAACCTTTTATAGAAGGTGTTCACAGTTAAATAAATTGCTAAAATTTTACCTCTCTTTTTGTTTGCTAACAGTGTTTCTGAAAAGAATTGAAAACTATAGTCCAGAACTCTGTTGCCTAAGTAGCATATGCTTTAAACAGCTCTAAAATTCATAATCTGTAATTATGGTATCTAAATATAGCTGGGTTGCTTTCATGCTTCTTTTGCTCTCAGTGGTATGGATTTTAGAAATGGCTTTACAGATACAACATAATTAAGATATTTTAATGTTATTAAATACTCATTTTGCTTTTAAGTGGAATTTAGCTCCATTGCTATATTTGTCTGTTTTCTTAATTTTTACCCGTAAGCCGACAAGTTTGCTAGCACATGTGTGCTGACCTTCATGCCACGAGTCTTAATTAATATTAAAGAAAAATCATGTGGCCCCACTAAAGAATAGAAAAGCCCATCTCACATTGTCAAAGTAGATTTATTTAAGTAATTTAAGGCAGAATTGTCGAGAAATTTAGTCAAAGAGTATAATGAAGGTCATCTTGGATTGGTATGTTTCAATAGTAAACGGTCAGCTTTGTTTTTCAGTTACTGAATGGAGAAAATCATATCCCAGAAATATGTCTCTGTTCCCCTTACTATACCCAATAGTCATATTACAATCAACTGTGGCAAAAAGCTCTTTAAGTGTTTTATTTTGTCAACTAGGGAATAGAATAAAATTTCGTGCTTCAAAAGAAATGGCTTTTTAATTTTTAAGTGAAATATAAAAATTAAAATTTATTAGACATTTCATTGTACTGGAAAAATATATCTTTTGTCTGATATTAGTGGAGAGTTAGTGAATTAGTGAAATGTATATATTCTGTATATGCATACACATATTTTATATTTGGGCCACACCCAGTGGTGCTAAGGGCTTACAGCTGGCTCTGCACTTAGGGGTCACTCTTGACAGTACTGACGGGCCCCTATGAGATTCCAGAGATAGAAACCAGAGTAGCCATGCTATACTATCTCTCTGGCCTTCATGAGTAATATTTAAAGATAACTTTGACGCACTCTTGTATAGATATAAGCTTTTTAAAATTTTCGTTCCATAAGAAAAATCTCTCTGTAATTTCTGCCATAAATACATTGATAATCTCAGGCATAACTTCTGGATATTCTCATTGACCCAGTTTCCGAAACAGTATCTTAAAACTGGAATAAACTTTAGGCAAAATAAAATTTATAGAAAAATCTGAGTTTTAGTGAATTGGTGAGTTTCTTTTTAGCATATTTGACCTTTTCTGAGATTTGTTCCTTATGCCAAGTTTGTATTCTTGGCAATGTTTGGTATAAATACAGTTTTCATTATCTTGAAGGTAGGAAAGAAGTGTAATGAAAAATAATATAACCAGTAATGGTTATATGCCTTTTCCCCTAAAGAAAAATTGAACCCATTGAGAGTTTAGTTGCTTGGCTAGCATCATTCTGTTAGTAAGGGGAAATGCAAGGGTTGAAACTCGGTAGATTTATGTTATCACTTTTTTTCAGCTCTTCTACTGCCTTTGTTATATGCAGCTATTTTGTGGTATTATAATTTTCATTTGAATACCTGGCTTCTCACTAAATGGTAGGCTCTACAGAATTATTATAATAAATAACAAACTACATGTTTTTATCCCTATACTACTCCATGCTTAGAGGCATATATAAGCATGGAGTGTATGTGTGTGTGTGTGTGTGTGTGTGTGTATATACATATATATATACGCATATATATATATACACACACTAGGTTTGCTATAAATATTTATGGGGTGAATTGGTTGTTCTCTCTCCATTGATTGAAGATACGTATTCTTTATAAAAGGTATTCTGCTACTTTTTATAGTATAAACCAAAAAAGATAGTTTTGGATAAAGCTTCTGTGACAATACTGAAAATAGAAATTTATTTGCAACTATGTTCTTATCAGCATTATTCATAATAGACCAAATATAGAATCAACCTCAATGCCTTTCGAAAGATGATTCCTTTTATCCTATCAGCCAACTCCCACCCTCCTCATGACTTTGGTTTTGTAGTCAGTCTCCCAAGTGACTTCAGTTTTATAGAGTCTACAGGGTTTTTTGTTGTTGTTGTTGAGTATTCTGTTTCTTTGCACTTTTTATATACCATGAGTGAAATCATTCCTTATTTTTCTCTCTCCTTCTCCCGACTTATATTGTTTAACATGCCCCTCCAGTTCCAACCATTCGTAGCAAAAAAAAACACAAACTTTCGAATAAATAGTTCCATTATGTGTTTACACATGTACACACATATTTAACACATCTCCATTATCTATTCATTTGTAACTGGGTTGTTTGCCAGTCTTCTTTGTACTTTGTATTTTCAAAGAACCAGTTTTTAGTTTCATTAATCCTTTTTTTTTTTTTTTTGGTTTTTGGGTCACACCCGGCAATGCTCAGGGGTTACTCCTGGCTCTGCACTCAGGAATGACTCCTAGCGGTGCCCAGAGGACCATCTGGAATGCTGGAAATCAAACTTGGGTTGGCCGCGTGCAAGCCCTACCCGCTGTGCTATCACTCCAGCCCCTCATGAATCTTTTGTATTTTTTTTATTTTAATTTGTTTATGCTTTAATTTTTATTCTATTTTATTTTCCCTTATACTTACTTTTGGTTCATTCTGGGCTTTTGTTATTGTTATTTTTTTTTAGTACTTAAAACTTTATATTAGATTATTTTCTATTTTTCTTTTTTTCTGATAAAAAGTCTTATTGCATGAATGTCGCTCTTAGTGTTACTTTTACTTTGACCTCAAATATTCTAACAATTTATGTCTTCATTATCTTTTCCAATATTTAAAAAAAAATTCTCATGAACTCAGTAGTTCAGTAGCACATTTAGTCTTCACATGTTTCATGATTTGTTTGTTCAGTTTTCTTTTTATGGTTGATTCCTGGTTCTGTTCGAATTGTGATTTTAAAAAAGACAATATCAGACTTTAATCTTCTTTAATTTGTTAAAACATATTTTGTGTCCCAACATATGGTCTCTTCCTGAAAAAGAGATGCACTCAAGAAGATTTTTTATTCAGCTCTTTAGGAGTGAAGTGCCCTATAAATGTCTATTAAAGCCAATTTTTTTCATCTCATTTAAACTCTATGTCTCTCTTTCAGGCCTATTTTAGAGTTGCATTATAGATTTTTTATATTCTTTCATTTGATGCATAGATGTTAATGAGTGTTAAATTCTCTTGATACTTCCTTAACCTAAATGCATTTCCTTTCCCTTTCAATGGTCAGTGGTCAACTTTTTTCATTTAGGTTGAAGTCTGTTCTATTTTATATAAACATGACTGTCTTTGACACTGTTTCTTGTGTTTTGGTTGAAGGGGCCCCACCCAGCATTGCTTAGGGGCTACGTCAGACTTGGGTGGAGGTAACACTCCAGGTTATTACCACGTAGTGCTAAGTATTGATTGTGGGACCCCATCATTTCTCCAGTCCCGTATCTTTCTATGTTCTTTTTGTCTTTTGGACCACCTCCTGCTGTACTCAGAGCTTCCCCATTCGACCATAAGCAGTGGTCCAAGCTCAGTGGACCATAAGCAGTGTTCTGGGATTCAAACTCAGGTCGGGTACCTACATGGCAAGTACTTTTACTGCTCTACCATTTCTATATCGAAGCATATCGAATACTCTCAGTAGCTTGCCGGGCTCTCTGAGAGGGGCGGAGGAATCGAACTCGGGTCGGCCATGTTGGCTGCGTGCAAGGCAGACGCCCTACCCGCTGTGCTATCGCTCCAGACACAGTAACAACAAAGTCTCCAATGGAGACATTACTGGGCCCGCTCGAGCAAATCGATGATCAACGGGAGGGCCTTTATTATTTTTTATTATTTACCATTTCTAGCCCTGTCTTTGTCTCCCTTTAGGCTACCATTTGCCTGTCTGATTGTATTCTAGTCTTCTATTTTGAGCCTAGGTTTATCATGTGGTCTCTTTGTATTTCTGAGCTATCAGGTCTCTTTGTACCTTCTGATTGATTGATTTAGCCATTGATTTTTTTTTTAACGTTAGAAAATTATTATGTATTTTCTGTATCTTTATATAAAAAAGTACAAGTAGAAAGCTTGTGATATAGCTCACTTGGAGGGCCCTCACCAGGAGGTCTGACCATTAAATCTAGAGGAATTCATAAAATGCGGTAGGGCAAGTCTTCTCTAGTATAGAGTGATACATAAAGAGAAGAAGTAAAGGAAAGAACAACTGGAGAGTATCATTATTGGACTTCTTATCAGACACAGTCCAGCAGAAAAAGAGTGAAAGTCTTCTATCCCGTAGGCCTTGTCCAAATGTACCCTGAACTTTAGGAGGGATTCTGTTATTTCCTTTTTCGAGTATAGCATGAACTACGTTTGTGACCCCAGAAGACCTACAGCCACCATGTAGCCCCAGAATCCTGCATGGTCAGCTTTACAGCCTTGGGAGAGGACTCTTTATTACATCTTAGAGTAGACACATTGTACCTCTGCCTGGCTTGTCTAAGTATGGTGTTGCAGATCTGACCAACTTGTGTTTTGTGTATGGCGAGTAAGAATAATTCACCAGATGTTTTTAGTATTATAGCTCTTCCTATATGGTGTGTATGGGTACATCTCTCCAGACTGACTCTTCTGACTTATGCCAGCACTGCAATTTGTATTTCCTAGTGGTGGCATTAAATAAACCCTGTTTTTCAGTAGATACATATTTGAAATTATCAATAAATTAATTGATTTGCAACTGTATGTCAGTTCTTTTATATTTATCAAACCAATTTAACAAAATATTGTGTATATTTGTTGGATACATGCCATCTGATGGGACAACCAAGTGTGAGCCACTGGGGGTATGCAGCAGTATCAATGTCTTGATGGAATCCGCAGCAGCAGTAGCCATAGATCCACAATAGCACCAGTCACAACAATAATCCCCTACATAACAACCTGAGCTTTTATGTTTAACTGCCATTTCTGCTGTCTAATTAATTGTATCATATGTAAATGAGTTTTATGGGACAACCAACTGGATAATGTATGCCTTATGAAAAGTATTCGTGGGATTAACCAGTCAGATTTAGATCATGTATGTAAGTGATAAGACAGAAGTCTTGATTATCTGGCTCCTCTCTGACTTTCTCTGTAACAATTCTTTTGCTTTAATATACTTTTATATTTTTAAGTAATATGTGAATATAGATATAAAGACCCAGTGAACTGGGTCTTTTCCTAAGTAATAAATCAGTTAATATTTATAGCAATTATAACTGAGGAAGATAATTAGAATTGCACTACACTATAGCACTGTCCTCCCGTTGTTCATCAATTTGCTCGAGCAGGCCCAGTAACGTCTCCATTGTGAGACTTGTTGTTACTGTGTTTGGAGTACTGAATATATCACGGGTAGCTTACCAGGCTTTGCCGTGCAGACGAGATACTCTCGGTAGCTTAGAATTAGCTATAATTAAATATATGGTATGTTCAGAACACTGTGTTTATTGCTTTATTTTCACAATAAGGACACTATTAGATTTTTTACAAACTTTTTTCACTGAATATGTGGTTTTTCCCAAGTCTTTTGTCAATAATTCTGAAATTGTTTTCCAGTCTGACAAAAAATGTAAAGGAATATTTGGTTTATTTTGTCAGTTAAGTGTTTTTAGTTAGAAACAAGTTTACTAAAATGAAACTTCCATGAAGCCTGAATTCATTCAAAGGAGGACAGAAAGAGGTGTTTAGCTTTTACATTTGTTTGTTAAGTAAAGACTTCATTCCCTCTGTAAACCTTAATTTATTCTAAAGTTTATAGAGACAACGCCTTAGATATCTTCAAACTGTGATAATTTAAATAGTATATTCTAAACTTCGTATACTGATCTTCATCAAATATTGCATTTATTTTAAAATTCAGTGATGTATTCATTTACTTTTATACAAAAATATATATGTTCAAATATAGAAATACTGAAATAATGACAGTGCTTTTTTTTTAAGGGTTTGAAAGAGGAAAAGAAGACATTTCTCAAAATAAAGATGAATCTTCACTTTCTATGTCAAAGAGCAAGGTAAGCATTACAGCCTCTGAAAACATGATGTTTTAAGTGAAAAAACTAACACTGAAATCCTGTCCTTTTTTTTTCTGGGATATTGTTGGTGTTAACTAAGCATGTAGTATGTATTAAAAAGGTAATGTTGTACTGGGACTGATTTAAATGCTATTGGTAACTTGGAAATACAGCCTATTGGTTAGCCAGTGTTTACTCAAAAGATACATTATTCTCGGTGTGTCAGCTGTAGCAGTACTTCCCAAATTAAGAATCTGGGCATTTACTATTCAGAGATATTCCTCTGATTTGTACCACTTAAAATGAATTCTTAAATGTCTTAGTGTTATTTGTATCATACTCAATATGTATCCATTTTATCAGTTAACATTCAAAAATCTTCTGTAGTAATAGCCTGCAACTGAAAGACATTTTCTTAAAATAAGATCGTTTTCTTACTAATTTGTAGAATATCAGGAGTTTGGCTCTCTTCAGCTATATGTGTAGGTGTCATCACCTCTACTATATAAAAAAAAAAAACTGAGAGGAAGACAGAGACAGAGACAGACCTATCTCAAATATGAGATTTTTAAAAAGGGAAATAGTAAGGGAATAACAAATGGACAAAGTCATAAGAACAGAAGATTTTATCTAAGAACTGAACTTACCTGGGACTTGTGGGGAGAGAGGGGAGGGGTCCTTGGGACAGTGGTACATGGCAGCAGGCTCTCTGGTGATGGGTATGGTATTGAAATGTTGTATCTGTGAAAAGTGTGAGTAACAATACTGTAAATCTCTAAATAAAAAATGATTCTTTAAAAATATGGTTAAAAAATAAGAGAGGGGCTGGAGTGATAGCACAGCCAGTAGGGTGTTTGCCTTGCACGCAGCCGACCTGTATTCGATTCCCAGCATCCCATATGGTTCCCTGAGCACCGCCAGGAGTAATTCCTGAGTGAGAGCCAGGAGTAACCTCTGTGCATCGCCAGATATGACCCCAAAAAGCAAAACAAAAACAAAAACAGAGTTTCTTAAATGGGCATTTCTTAAACTATGCTGCCTGTACATATTCTTAGGTTTGTTGAGAATTTTTGCTTTAAGACTACACTATGTTATGCATTGGCCTTCTTATGAGCTTGTAATTCACTCATTTTACTATAATTTTTCAAGGGAGTTGACAAATTATGGAAAAACTGTTTACTTTTGTTCACATTTAGGAGCAGAAAAGTTTGTGGAATCAAATTTCAGTGGTTATAAGTAAACCTATTCCTTAATCTTGAAATGTTTCTGCTATTTTCAGAAGTAGGTTATACTCCATTTATGTTTCTATTTTGGGGAGTAGTTAAGAGGATTTCACAGTAGGGGTTTTTTTCAACAAGTTTTATTCACACTTTTCAAGAATTCATTATGTAAAGCACAGTCTCTAGTATGTGTAAAAGTACTTTCAAAGGAAGTTTTTAGTATTTTTAGTGTTTATCATGTGTATGTATGCTATAAATATTAATTATATTAATTATTTGGGGTATTATTTTTTACCACTTAAGAATTTTCAAAACAAGTTTAATATGTTCTTATACATTAATGGCCCATTTAAATTAAAAGGCCAGTTTTTTTTTTTTATGATACAATCTGGAGGCTAGTGATTTGAAACATGAAGCAAGTAATATGTATGTATTAAATCTTATGTTAAAATTACTATGCTACCCCATTTAATGGGCTAGAGCAATAGCACAGCAGGTAGGGTGTTTGCCTTGCACACGGCCGACCTGGGTGACCCGAGTTCGATTCCTCCACCCCTCTCGAGAGCCCAGCAAGCTACCGAGAGTAGTATTTCGCCCACACGGCAGAGCCTGGCAAGCTACCCGTGATGTATTTGATATGCCAAACACAGTAACAAGAAGTCTCATGATGGAGATGTTACTGGGCCCGCTCAAGCAAATCGATGAACAACGGGAGGACAGTGCTACAGTGCTACTCCATTAAATGCTCAATGATAGTAAGAGCATCTTCGTTTTTTTTTTTTTTATTAGTGAGACATCATGAGGTACAGTTGTAGACTTACAAATTTTTGTGCTTGGGTTTCAGTTATACAATGATCAAATACCCATCCCTCCACCAGTGCCCATTTCCCACCACCACGGATCACAGCATACCTCCCACCATCCCTCCCACCCTCCATCCCCCCATCCCACCCTGCCTCTGTGGCAGGGCATTCCCTTTCGTTCTCTCTCTCTCTCTCTTATTGGGTGTTGTGGTTTGCAAAAGAGGTAATGGGTGACAATCATGTTTGGTCTATAGTCTACTTTCAGCATGTTTCTCCCATCCTGGGAGGATCCTCCCAACACCTTTATTTGGTGTTCCCTTCTCTATCTGAGCTCCCTTTTCCCCTAGCATGTGTGGTTGGCCTCCAAGCTATAGAGTAAAATTCCTGGTACTAATCTCAGCCATTCTTGGGTGTTAATCTCCTATTTTGTTACTTTAAGGAGCATCTTCATTTTACAACAGAGATAATCCTGAGAAATTGAGTAACTTTCCAAAGTTATTAAGTCTTTGTAGTGACAAAAATTAAGGGGGGGGGAGGGAAAAAGGCGAGAAAGAAGTAAACTATATATAACATGCTAAACATTCTGTGACTGCTTAATGAAGAGACACAAACGACTATACCGTATTATATTACTATACTCTGTGATCATCATTAAGATAATGGTCAGCCAATTTAGAAGAAAAAAGTAGTATAGTAAAAGATTTCCATCAAAAATTTTTCCTGATATTTGTTTTCATAACCTGCTGATTGCCCAAGTTAGATGTTAGTGTATTTAAAAGGTTATAGAAGTTTGTCACCCGATCATTTTTTTCCAGGACTTGCTCTACCATTTGGTAAGGATTTTTTGGGGTGTATGTGCACTAATCTGCTAAGCTCATCTGATGTCCTTCGGACCTGCTGGTTCTTTGTATCCTTGAACTTTCAGGAATAACCAAGCTAGATGTTACCATGAAGTGACAGATATCCTTTAGTTCCTAAAGATAGGTCTTAAATTTGAGTTTGCCTGCAGTAATGTCTGAACAGTTAAAAAATGTGATCATTCAGTTTAGTGAAATGGCTAAGAATATGATGTGGGGAATTTGGCAGACCATAATACAAATCCCAGTACTTACTGACTATTTGATTTAGGAAAGCTATTTCATCTGCTGGCTCTAGTTGCCTTACTAGAATAGAAAAGAATTTACTGTTACTATCTCATAGGGTTGCTTTAAGGAACCCTATAAGGTTGCTCTAAGGGCAGGTCACATAGAATGTCTAATATGGTATACTTGATAAATTGTCAACAATCATGATTTTTCATTTCTTTTTAATGCTGTTAATACTATTCCTTGAATGATATGAGAAGTATTTTATGAGATGTGTGTCCTGTGTAGCTGTAAGAAACAGAAAGTTCATATTCCTCTTATGGTGGTAGTGGCATCTTTGAGTTCTCTAGATACAAAAAGATGGAGATCTGTTTGGTTTGAGAAATTTAACAAAATTGTTTTGTTATTCTAATAAATGCATCATTATGGGAGCAAACAAAGTGATGTTTCAAGTCTAGCTCTCAAAGGAGACTCTGAGAATTTGACTTTAACAAAAACTTAAATTAGATTAATGCACACTATCTACATTAAGCTGAGTTATCAGTTTCTTTCTGGATCAGCTACTTACTGCCTTCAGCCCAGTAAACTGCTTTTTTTTTTTATTCCAAGTAGTGGAGCTTTTTAAGGGGAGAAGTGAGAAATGAACTGCAAATTGCTTTCATTTTATTAATTCATCAGATACTTGCTGAGTTCTTCCCTTTTTTCTCAGATGATAATTTGGGTATTATTCAGAAGTAGGTTATACTCCATTTATGTTTCTATTTTGTAAGTCTTGTTTGTGCTATCACAGATCTTAAAATTGAGTGAAGGAGTCATATGTCCAAATATTTCTCTTGATCTTTTCTACTTATATCAATAAGTGGTGTTCAGCATTTTAAAACCAGCATTTGGATCATGTCATATATCTTGTCACTAGGAATACTGCTAACTAGTTTTTTCTTTTCTGCGATGTCTAACTATAGATAATAATGAAAGCCATAGGACAATAGAGAAATACACTTGATTCTGTTATTTTGGATCTTAGGGAAATAATGTTAGTTTTATGCTCTCCTATTTTGTTAAAAATAAAGATTAAATTCTCTTAGATGACAGAACTTTAAAACACTGCTGACTTAGGAGACCCAGATTCTGATCTGAGCTATATTATTGGTTGATTGTCTGTGAAAGCATCCTTCTGTAGCTTCCTTTTTCTAATTTTTAAAATGGTGGAATGCTTTGGTATTCATTGAAGTTGGAATTAGGCCTCTTCTTCAAGGTTTTTAGGAAGATAAGTGGAATACGTGAAGTATAAAAGTTTGGAAACCAGTTTAATAAAGTAATAATAATTTAAGAGCACTAGGTAGGTAGGAAGAGTAGGTACTAGGAAAGATAGTTTTAAAACGTACAACTAAGAGTATTTTAATTTAGTTTCTAAAGATGTGAGAGTAGCAACAATGTGTGTTTGCTGGAATTGTGACTCACTTATGTGCATTTCAACTGTTAAAAATTTGGTTACTTTGATCACTGCTTAAAACCAAATGCTTATATTTATTTCTTGGAAAATTATGTGCAAAAGTTTATACATAAGTTTATTTAACTTCATATCACAGATTGATTAGTTTTTGTGTGTGTATTTGTGGGTTTAACATGAATTTATTTTTTTCCACTTTTTTAGTTAAAGCACTGTGAGTTATTCATAGTTTTAGACATCCAATAGTGCAGCACTGGTCCCACCACCAGTGTCAACTTCCCTCCACCAATGTCCCCAGGTTCCCTCCCATATCTGTGCCCTCCCATCTGTCCTCTTGACAGCACCTTTCTAAGTTTGGTTGTTAAAATGAGTCTCTTGATTTCAGTGTTGTTGATTGATTGATTCTGTGCTTTGGATATTTGGCTGTATCATTCCTTAATACCACTTTAACCAACTTCCCTGACCTGGCCCCCTTGCTTCTCATCTGTTTCTTCTCATCCCCTCCTTTCTTTCCTTCTATTCCCTATATACTCTGAAGCCAAGTTGGTCAGGGCATCTCTCTTTAAAACATTGCATTTCCTCATCCAGTTATTCTAAATGCCATGTATGAGTGATATCATCCTGTGTTTATCCTTTTCCTGGCTTACTTCATTTAACATGATGTCTTCTAGTTCCTTCCCATATGCGTTCTTTTTTTAAAAAAGCCTAATACTATATAGGTAAAGTTGGTATTTGAAAATTGATGATTGTAGTATTGTGATTTGTAAATCACAGCAATAAATAACTTAACAATGAATACTTTTATATACTATATGGGTAGGGGAAAATGAAGGTATTAATGATGATTTCTGCTGTGATTTCAGTCTGAATCCAAACTCTATAATGGCTCGGAGAAGGACAGTTCATCCTCAAGTAAGCTCACAAAAAAGGAATCTCTTAAGGTTAGTTTCTTGTTATTTATGTGCAGTAATTAATAAATAATACTTTGCATGTACTAATAAGAAAAAGAGAAAAACATGTGCTTTCCTAAAAGAAAAAAAAATATTCAGGCAAGTACACATAAAAAAATGTAGCACTCTGTGTAGCACGCTGAAATTATCTGAGAGTCTGCCTGAAGACTATACAGGGCTACTTCTAACCCTTGCTGGCTGCTCAGGGCACTGAGGCCTGAGACCTTGGCACAGCTGGACCCATGACAGATGCATCATTATTTTGTAGATATAAATGGGAAGCTCTGGCATAGATTAAAGTTGGAATTTTCTGATTACTGGGTCCACCAGTAGGTGTATTTTTCTTTTTAAAAATATCTTTCTGGTAGTACCAGGAATTGAACCTAGGACCTCACACATGCAAGCACGAGCTAATGCTCTACTGCTGAGCCACATCCCGTGCCCCATATTTTATTTGATCATAATATACATGGCTTTAAAACTTTGAGTCACCCAAGTCTAGATTTCCAAGAGCTATTTATTATTGGGCCTGCTTTTCCAAAAGATCATGGAACACTGAGTTTCATTCTGAGGCCTGAGAGACAGCGTGGAGCCTAAGGTTCCTGCAGCTTTGCATGTGGCCAACTCTTGTGTGTGGTTCAATCCCTGTGCATGACCGCTTAGCACTATGGGTCTTCACATTGAACTCTCTCATTCTGGTTTCGCTGAGCATTGTTTGGGATGCCCAATGATCTTCCTCACCAAAAAAGTATCCAAGCATTCCAGTTGACTCTCATCCCTGTTCGGTCTCTTTTATCCATTCTTTTACTATGTCTGATCTGTACCTGAGTGCTGAGTGCACTTGCCTTTGGAATCTCATATTAAATTTAATTTAAAGTCAAATATACATATTGGTGAAAACCAAACATCTAAAGTTGCAGTTTATCCTTTTTGGGATTCTGTTTAAAATTTTGTTTTCTTTTGGGCTACAACTGGCAGTGCTCAGGGACTGCTACCAGCTCAGTGCTTGGCGGTCATTGCTGTTGGTGCTTGGAGGACCATGCTGGGCTGGGGAGTGAGGTGGGGGCTTCTGTTCATACTCCAGCCTTTTAGCTATCTCCCTATCCACTCTGAAGTTGTTTAGTAGTAGAATTGCTAAAATATTTTGTTAGATGTGTATAGTTCTCTTTACCACTCAGTGCAACTAAAAAGATTTTGTGTTTTTGCTTAAAAAAAATAAGTCACCAATGGTTATAACTGCTCTTCTCCCATCTTTCTAATAACTACAAATAATTATAGGACTGCATTATTATAGTACTATTTTCCCAGAATATCTCAGATGTAATTTATGAAGTGTAAAACTTTGATATTTTGAATGAATTTATTTCACTGTTGTGTTTCATATGTATCTTAAAATGTTAATATTAAGAAAGAACAAAATCTTCAGTTGCAAATGCTTGCATTTTGATGACTAAATAAATAACAGATTTTCAGCAATAAGTGTATGTGTTTAAAAAATGTTGGAATGTTCTAGCGTGATGTTAAAAAGTATGCTTTCTATAGTTAGTATGCCTCTCTTAATGCTGCCTAGTACACAGTCTGTGATTTACTAGCTGTGTTATTCTGGGAAGCTATGCCTCAGTTTTCTTATTTGTGAAATAAGTACAGTTATGGTGCTAAGTCAAGAAAATTTTGAATTTTATCAGGAGGATTGAATGAGGTAACCCATGTAAAAGGCAAGTTACTGTTCTAGTTAGAACAGTAACTAGTACACGAATGTTCCCAGTAAATATCAGTGCTTATAGTATTATTCATAGTAGGAATCCTGAAAAGCCATTAAAAGAATGAGGTAAAGTGGAAAACACTCTAAAGCATATTGAATGGGAGAGTGTTTTTTTATATGTTAAAACTATAACGGGGCCAAGAGACAGTGCTGGAATTAAGGCACTTGCCTTGTATACAGCCTGTCCTAGTTCAATCTCCAGCACTGCATATGGTCCCCCAAACACTGCCAGTCCATGTGACCCTAAGCACAGTCAGTATGACCCAACCTCCCACTACCACCACCTGCCCAGGTAAATGAATAAATAAATTAGAAGAAAGAACCAGAGAAAAAGTTCAGAGACAAGATGCTTGTCTTGAATATTAACCAAACCCAGTTGGTTCTGCAAGTTCTGTCAGGGCCCATTTCTGAGCACAAAGCCAGAAAAAGCTCATGTGTACCATCAAACCCAGTTCCTTCTCCCCAAAAGGACAGGGAGGTGACTAATGATTAGAAAATTAGTCTAGTGTCTTCTCAGAGTCGGGTGAGCAGACTTCCCCCTTCCCCCAGGTCCCAGCAGCCATGCCTACCTTCCACCGTCTCAGCCGTATTGATTTACCCACCAGACCTGCTTTACCACTTTATGACTGAATTTTGGAGGAGATGCAAATCAAGCAGCTAAAATTCTGCCATGTTCCGCAGGGCAGAAAACCCTGGGGCACTCTCAGGAGGCAGGCAGGCTGCTTACCTAGGCTGCCTATGCCCTGGCAGCTATACCCATGCCTCCCCCCCTGCAGCCACAGCAAGGCTCAACTCCTCAATGTCACTAATATTCTCTGCAGAGACATCGAACTGCAAATAATTTCAGGTACCCCAGTGCCCTGGCTGATAACTCTGGTATATTCTCAAAGTCGGGGTTGACAGCCCCCTCCACCACCCCACCTCCTACTTTGCCAAAGTCCTGACAATCCACGCCTATGTTCTGTACCCCATGCTGTGTCAACTCATTGGTCCAAACCATAGATCCTGAAGTCTCTGAACACATCCTAATCCCTCAGTACTAAAGTTCCAATAGGAGCACACCAAATTAGATGGGAAAGTAACAAGAAGCCAACTAAAATCAACAAACAACAACAAGAACAGCAACAATAAAAACACAGAAGGCTCAACTAGCAGCAAACAGCTTAATAAAATCTTAGGCAAGGATTTAATAACCCATTGATCATGTGTAACAATTTTTACATAAAAATTGACTTTTTATACTTACCGATTTTAATATTGGATTTCTGTTATCTAATCAGTTTCAACTCTAGAGTTTTATCAACACGTGTAGCTTTTGTATTCATTGCAATAAAATTTAAAATTAAGAAAATTAGACTGATCTTTCTTCTGAAAATTTCTACCAGTTCTTAAAGATCATTCTTATAACATAATATGTTAGAATTCTACATTTTGAATTTTATACTTTACATTCTGTAGACCTAAGAACTATATCATAGATGTTCAATTTTTTTTGCTTTTCTGTTATTTTTCTAAAATAGGTACAAAAGAAAAACTACCGAGAAGAAAAGAAACGAGCTACAAAGGAATTACTCAGTACAATCACAGATCCTTCTGTTATTGTTATGGCTGACTGGTTGAAGGTCAGTTTGTATTAAATCTTGAATTCAAGTTACTGCATATTGACTTCTAAATTTGGAAAGCCCAGAGTGCAATCTAAAGCCCACAAGATAAAAATCAACTCTGTGGTGACTGTTTTACATTGGCAAAGAAACTATTAGTTATATCCCGGATGCTCTGTCTTCCAGCATTAATGGGGAAAAGGAATCTTAATGTTGTCTCTCTTGACAGTAAAATCAAGTAGAGCTAGCAGTTCTTCTAAAAAGACTTGATATGTGTGACTTTATGTATTCTAATCAGTATGTTGTAAAAATGTTTTGCTTATGTTATCATTTAGCTTAGAGTATACATTATTGAGAAGATATGAGATAAAGTTAATGTAAAAATTATTTTTATGAAGAATTTCTTTTCAGAAAAATATACTTTTTTTTTGGTTCAATACTCATTTGATCTTGGAATACTCTCATTTGTTTCATTTCCTTTTCTCTCATCCTAGTCTCTTTTGTCCTCTTTCTCTTTTTCCTTTTCTCCCAGTGTTAGGGATGGAACTTATGGCCTCACAATGGAAGGCCAGTGCTCTATCTCTGAGCTATTTCCCCAGCCCACTTCTTTCTCATTCTTATCTAAAGGATGTTTAGTAGGAGTCTTACAAATTAATGCTAACTCTAAAAATAATAACATTAAGAAGCTGAAGAATATGAATCAGTAGTAGAATACCTACCTTACATGTGGTTGGATTACCAACACCAACTCACATTTTTTAATGCAGTCTCAGGCACTGCTGCTGTGATCTCTAGCACCATGGCTAGAATAACCTCTAGAGGTATTGCAGCCAAACTTGGTGCACTGCAACCAAGTGTGTGACCTCTAGACACCACATGTGTACCCCCCAGTACTGAACAACAAGAAAGAGAAGTGAGGGAGAAGACTCTGTAAGTCAATAACACTCAAAGTATATGTGTGTATACAAAGAAAGAGTGTGTGTGTGTGTGTGTGTGTGTGTGTGTGTGTGTGTGTGTGTGTGAAGAAAGGATCAAAGAAACTATAAGACCCCCATCTCCCAGAAAGTTTGTAAGTACCGATATTTAAATAAAAATCATCCCAGCTCAGAAAGTTTTCCTTTCCCCCAAAGTTGGTGTTACTTCCAACCAAGAGTCTTTAGAAATCTGTCAAATTCTCTTACTAAAAACTGGAGTCTTGTGATAGTTTGCTGATGGTTAAAGTAATACTGAGTCTTTTTTAGTACTGTGCTTAAAAACTTAAGATCACTCTACCTAGAAGTCTTTAAACTCCAGATCTTACTAATTTTAACAGAGCTGATCCCACATTTGCCCTTAAACCATACCCCAGTAGACTACCCAGCACATCTCCTGTAGGTTACTTCATTTTGATAATTTTCCCTCCAAATGCTACTGTTAAATCACCAAGATCCAAAATACTGGCTTAGAGTATTGCATCCTTTCACTTCTCTTGTATTTTCACCCTTTTCACATGTGTGAATGCTTTTTTTCTTAATTATTCTCTTTTTTTAATGCCTGACTCCAAACTCTTCTCTTTAAAATTCTTTCTTAGCACAGTGGGTAAAGCATTTGCCTTGCATGCGGCCAACATGGCTGACCGGGGTTCGATTCCTCTGCCCCTCTTGGAGAGCCCGGCAAGCTGCTAATTGTATCTCACCCTCACGGCAAAGCTACCCGTGACTCGGTATGCCAAAAACAGTAACAAGTCTCAGAATTTGTTGTGAGACATTACTGGTGCCTGCTCAGGCAAATCGATGAACAATGGGAGGACAGTGCTATAGTGTTGCTATGGTATTCCTATTTAGGAAGACCTGAATATTAATAGCACATGACTAGTTCATTTAGAGTATATATGTCTTACAGTAAGTTAAAGTGAGAATAATTCTTACTGTTTAAAATGTTATTCTTTTCAGTTCTTGAATTCATTTATTTGCATGGAAATAATTTTAAAGGACTACAGGAATAGAAATTGATAGTAAAACCTCATCAAAGTCTTATTGGCATAAGCAGTAGGGTAAACAACATTTTATGAGACTGTAGAAAATTTTAAAGAATTTTAAAAAATTTAAAGCTTGTGTTTTAATGACTTATGCTTTTAATTTCTCTCCAGGAAATGTATCTCACACACTCTTTAATTTCTAAGAACAAAGTAATTTAGAAAAGGCAATTGTAGTGGCTATAAGGTGATTCTTCCCTTCCTCTTTCTCCTGTCACAGATCAGCATTCCCTATATAGTGTATTTTTAGCACTGTTGATTTAGTGATGAGGGGAAAATGGTATAAAGCATATTAATCACATATGCCCATAAATAATATAACATCTGTGGTAAATGGTAAGGAAAAATTCTTTGCTATAGAATTTATTTTATTGCCCCTGGCCTGGCCAGGAAGATTGGAATAACAGTTTTGTTTAGTATATTACTTCAAAATACTTGATCCTATCTCACTAGAATTTAAGTTCCTTAAGTTCCTTAAGAGCTTTTAATCAATCAGTCAATCACAACCATCCTGTTACTCGTCGATTGCCTCGAGCAGGCCCTAGTAACGTCTCCTTCGTCCTAGCCCTGAGATTTTTTTAAAAAGTGCCATATTCAAGGCTCTTTCAGAGTTAGGAGAATGAGACCCTTCATTGTTACTGGTATTTCGCATAATGGGTACGCCACGGGGAGTTTGCCAGACTCTGCTGTGTGGGCAGGTTACATTCGGTAGCCTGCCAGTTTGTCCAAAGTAGAATGAGATGATAAGATGTCGCGCAGCCACAAATGCGGCCGTGCTTCCGGGAGCTGGGTTTTTCCTGGCAGTTGATGGGATTACATGGCGCCAGGGGGCCAGTTGGTGCGTGTGACCCCCGCCTACTGGAATTTGGAGGATCTGGGTGGAGGATGCTCAGCCCCAATCCGAGTAGGCTTAGAGATGTCAGCCCCAGGGAGATCAGTGAGCCTGTAGGAGACACTTCCTGCTTCTAGTTATTTGCAATACTTAACATTGAGTAGCTTAATAATGTTGCAGCCTAAGAAAATTTTCAGTTTGGATCTTGTGCAATTGAAAGATAAATACAGCGCTTTATCATTTTTTATTGAAATAACATTGGTATGTGACAGTACAAAGCATTATTTCTTTTATTTTTCAGAGTATTATTTCTTAAATAAAAAATATCAATTTAGATTCTGTGGTTTATAGTACTGCTAATAATAGGTTCCCGTGCTCATAATTCCAATACCACACCCATCAGTGTATCCACTGTACTTAAATAAACTTTATTTTTTTTTTTGTAGATTCGTGGTACTTTAAAGAGCTGGACCAAGCTATGGTGTGTGTTGAAACCTGGGGTGCTACTGATCTATAAAACCCAAAAAAACGGTCAGTGGGTAGGGACAGTCCTTTTGAATGCCTGTGAAATCATTGAGCGTCCATCAAAAAAGGATGGATTTTGTTTCAAACTTTTCCATCCTTTGGAGCAATCTATTTGGGCTGTGAAGGTAAGTAAGCATTTGTTATATAGATAAAAAGTTAAAGATAATGATATATGAATAGACTGGGGCTGGAGTGTTAGTACAGTGGGTAGGGCATTTGCCTATACATCATGCGGTCAACCTGGGTTTCATTCCCAGCATCCTATATGGTCTCCAGAGCACCTTGAGGAGTGATTCTTGAGTGCAGAGCCAGGAGTAGCCCCTGTGCATCTCTGGGTGTGACTCAAAAAGCAGAAAAATTAAAAGAAAAAAAATTTGAGTAGAATTGAGCTAAATCACTTAGGAATTTATAGGATTGTTGTCCTTTACTAGGATTTCTAAATTTATTTCTGTTTTCAAACGAACATTCTCCTTTCTGTCATTAATCATAATGAATTACGCTCTAAAAGATTTTGTTTACCCCTATGGCTGAACTTAAAAATTTCCCTAAGAAATGTCTCCCAAATTTATACTGTACTTTAATATCCTCTTTGTCAATTGGGATTCCATTTGTCTTTTTTTTTTAACTTGCTGTGACTAAATTTGCTTCATATTATTGCATCATTTTAATTGTTCCTCCTTACCAGAGTTGTAATTATCCTTAAGCAGAAACTCCAAGTCTTTTTGTGGTCTTGTTTCTAGAGATGTAGAGATGTGATAAGATGTCTATAAGAAAAGACAGTTCTATTCTTGTGAGAGACAACTTTCTGTGAAAACGGAGTTCTAAATACTAATATAGGTAAAAAGTATAACTATGGCCCCCTTCTGTTTTTATAAGAGCATTTATTTAATCGGGAAAATTTAAATGCCATATTTGATAACCAAGTAATACTACAAATATGTGCTAGCTTAATAAATGAGTTCTGCTGAGGATTTTACAAAGCGAGCATTGCTTTGTTTCTGAGGTACCTTTAATTTTAATAAAAGATTTAGAGTTCCCCCTTTAATTAGACCTCATGAGATTTGCACCAGCTAAACATAGGCTTAAGTTTTTTAGCTTGTTCCAAATTGCATAATGGCCAGTATGTGTAAACATAGGAAAAGTCCTGGAACTTTCAAACCTCAATTTCACTGGTGTGCAACAATAGCAGGGATGAATGTAGGATCCAATGTGGGATTAGGTGCTTCCTCCAGTGAAAGGAGTCAACCCGTAAAACCTCTGGTATTTGTATGTCATTTGGTTTTCAAATAAAAGTTACTTTCAAAAATGTTTATATGTACTATAGTTCGGGGGGCTAGGAGGTTGCCCACCTGTGCTTGAGAGCTTGGGCATCTCTCCCAGTGATGCTTGGCCTTGTGGTAGGAGCCCTGACAGTGTGATTGCTCAGACCCAGTATTTCTGGGGTGACCAGGATTGCACCTAAAAGAGTCCATAAAATGCCAGCAGTCAGTTTTGGGGAATGGAAAAGCATATGTTCCACTCACTTTAGCTCTCTCCATTGCTATTCTCTGTGTTAAAGTTTTTATATCCTTTCCTCTGTTCTTAGGAATTGTTAGAATTACGGTGAAATTTTAAATCATTAAGAATATTTTAATGTAAACCTGACCTGAGTGCCCGAGAACACATTTGAAATTTTATTGACATTTCTTTTACTTTTTAATGTTGACTGCATTTTCTAATGTTTATGCTTCTTAAAATGCATTTTTCTTGATCTTACAACTTAAAAGTGATACTTTTTTAATTTAAAATTATATCACAAATTTAGTCCTTGAATTTTCTTTCCAGAGAAAACTTGTGAGTTTATCCTGGTTAAAGAAACTTTGGTATATCTACACAATGGAGTACTATGTAGCTGTCAGAAAAGATGAAATCATGAAATTTACATACAAGTGGTACTACATGGAAAGTATCATGCTAAGAGAAATGGGTCAGAAAGAGGGACAGACATAGAAAGATTGCATTCATCTGGGGAACATAAAGTAACAAAATAAGAGACTAACACCCAAGAATAGCCAAGATAAGTACCAGGAGGTTCACTCCACGGCTTGGAGGCCAGCCGCACATGCTAGGGGAAAAGGCAGCTTAGATAGAGAAGGGAGCACCAAATAAAGATGTTGGGAGGATCCTCCTAGGATGGGAGATGCATGCTGAAAGTAGACTATAGACCAAACATGATTGCCACTCAGTGCAAACCACAGCACCCAAAAGGAGAGAGGGAACAAAAGGGAATGCCCTGCCCAGAGGCAGGGTAGGATGGGGGGATGGGGGGTGGGAGGGATACTGGGATCAGTGGTGGTGGAAAATGGGCACTGGTGGAAGGATGGGTACTTGATCATTGTATAATTGAAACCCAAGCACAAAAATTTTTAAGTCTACAACTGTACCTCATGGTGTTTCACTAATAAAAATTTAAAAAAAGAAGGAATATTTTAATGTTAAATTTAATTCCAGGTATTGGTAGAAGGAGGGAATTTTTGTACAATTATAATAAACATTAGTATATCCTCCTTAAGAATATCTACTTTGGAACATTAAGGAATTTCACAGTCAGTGGTTATGATTAGGAAATTGTAATGTTTGAGTTTTTTGTGTCAAGGATTCTTAACTCTTTACATGGACACTTACTTCTCAGACCTCTAAGGAAAATTCATTCTTTTCCTCAGTATACAAATAAAATATTGCAGCCCAATGAGATTCCTTAAGTTACATTTCTACCATGAAAAAAGTTTGAAATCCAAACAGCCTGACTCTAGGTTTTGCTATACACTGGTTCTAGAATTGACACATAAATTATAGGGTGACCTAAAAATAATCAACAGATATTACAGAATTCATTGAAATTTTATTGACATTTCTTTTACTTTTTAATGTTGTCTGCATTTTCTAATGTTTATGCTTCTTAAAATGCATTTTTCTTGATCTTACAACTTAAAAGTGATGCTTTTTTAATTTAAAATTTTATCACAAATTTAGTCCTTGAATTTTCTTTCCAGAGACAACTTGTGAGTTTATCCATTATTGTTCTAATTATTATAGATTTTCTGGAGTTGTATACTTCTAAAACAAGCAACTCCATCTTACAACAGAAGTCCTTTTTTCATTCTTGTTTCTGGAAATAATAGTTTGTTTTTATAGTTGTTATTTATAGAAAACATATAATTATAAGGTTATAAAGTTGAGGTTTATTTTTGTCTACTTATAGTCAAAATCATTTCTCTTTACCTCTTAAATTATAATCTGTCCAATATGGTGAATTCTATGCTTCTTTTCAATACGAACAATATAAAGTTGTTGGTTGATAAACATGATTTAACTTTCTGTTCAGATGGTGTATTGTTGAGAGAGAAAAAGTTCATAAATGTTAACACTTAAAAGTTAATTCTTAACAGTTGCATTCTTTTTTGGGGGGAAGCAAAAAAGTTAGGATGTGAAGGGAGAGAGAATAATTGCATGTATGAGAGAACACAGGTTTCTCTAGAGTGGAAATAGGCAGGCATTGAGACAAGCAAACAAGATATGTCATCAAGGGAAAAATGGACTTGAAGAGCAAGGCAACATTTGCTTTCTTGATTAAAAAATAAACTGCTATTTTAGCGTTAATAAGAACATTAGCTATTTTAATGTTATAAATTATAACATTATTTTGAAAATAGATTTAATGTCAGCATTTATACTTAATAAGTATGAGACTTATTTTAAATAATTGATGCCTAACTTAGAGTATTGCATTTAATTATGGGTACGAGAAGGGCGAGATTTCCTAAACTCTACACCATTTGTTTTGTTTTTAAGGGTCCAAAAGGTGAAGCAGTTGGATCCATAACTCAGCCCTTGCCCAGCAGTTATTTGATCATTCGAGCTACTTCAGAGTCAGATGGTAAGCACAAGTTTTGATGGACTGGATTTAAGAATTATTTAATATATTATTTTCCTCGCGGGTCCGGAAAGCGTCCTGGAGTGTGGCGACGGCTGGGTAGTGGAAGTAGTGTCCAAATAGACCACATCATATTCAATCGACGGTTTTGCCTGACTGATGTCGCTGTTGTCCCAAAATTTCGAACGGGATCGGACCACCGTCTCCTCCGTGGAAAATTCTACTTCACAGAGCGGGGAGAAAGGGCTGCAAAGTTCAAAAAGAGAACTCCCAGAACGACGACCAACTGGGAACTCTTTGGTACTATTGCGGCAACATGGGAAGATGCCATTGTTGACAACATTGACGAGGAATACGATCGACTGGTTCAGCACCTCCATGAATGTGCGAGGAACGCCAAGAGAGAGATAGCCACAAAAAGTCGCCTATCTTCGAAAACTCTTGAGCTAATTCGCCAGCGTGGTTTGGCGCATGCCTCAGGCAACCGCAAGCTAACGTCCGAGCTTGCAAAGCAGTGCAGAGATGCGATCAAGGAAGACCTCAAAGAGAGAAGAGCAGAAGTACTGGTAGATGCGGCAGAAGCCGGGAAAAGTATTCGTAACGCCCGCCTGTCCTTCGCCAACTATAAGACCAAGATGACTGCCCTCCGACGTCCTGATGGATCCATCACATCCTCCAGAACGGCAATGGAGAAGATTATCCATGACTTCTACTCAAATCTCTTCGATAGCCATGTCCACTTGCCGACATACCAAATTCCACAGGATGGGTATGTCGTTCCCAACGTTCTCCCTTCCGAAATCCGACACGCCATTTCGTCAGTAAAGAAGCAAACAGCACCCGGCCCAGACAAGGTCAGACCTGAACACCTGAAGAACCTGCCGTCAGTACTCATCAATACACTGGCTCGGCTCTTCACTCGCTACCTGTCTGAATGCAAGGTTCCATCTCAATGGAAAACCAGCAGGACCGTACTACTGTTCAAGAAGGGAGACATCCATGACATTGGCAACTATCGCCCGATCTGCCTATTGTCTGTCATCTACAAGTTGTTCACTCGAGTCATCCTGAATAGAATTGGCAGAACACTAGATGAAGGACAACCATGTGAGCAAGCAGGGTTCCGCAAAGGATTCAGCACCATCGACCATATCCACACGATAACCAAACTCATTGAGGTTTCTCGGGAGTTCAAGATGCCGCTCTGCTTAACGTTCATTGATTTAAAGAAGGCCTTTGATTCTGTTGAGACGGAAGCGGTCATTGAAGCCCTAGCCAATCAGGGCATTCAAGCCCAATACATCAGGATCCTCCGTGAGCTGTATTGCGGATTCACTACCAGGATCTCACCATTCTACAAAGAAGTGATCGTTGATGTCAAGAGAGGGGTGCGGCAGGGTGATACCATTTCACCAAAACTCTTCAGTGCCACCCTCGAGAACATCATGCGACGACTGGAATGGGAAGGAATGGGAGTGAAGATAGATGGTTGGCAACTACACCACCTCCGCTTTGCTGATGACATTGTTTTAATAACACCAAACATCAGCCAAGCGGCACAAATGCTGGCCGACTTTGACCGTGAGTGTGGAAAGGTAGGACTACAGCTGAATCTTACGAAGACAATGTTTGTGAGAAACAGCCTTGTTCCTGACGCCCCATTCGCTCTCAATGGAACGACCATCTCCGAATGCAACAGCTATGTGTACCTAGGTCGAGAGGTCAACATGACAAATGACCTGGCACCCGAGCTGCGCAGGAGGAAGAGAGCGGCTTGGAACGCCTTCAAGAACGTCGAAGAAATAGCTAAGAGGACGAAGAACCTCCGGCTCCGGGCACATCTCTTTGATTCCACTGTTCTTCCTGCATTAACATATGCCTCAGAGACCTGGGCCCTACGCAAACAAGATGAGAACGCCATTCAGGTCTCCCAAAGAAGAATAGAAAGAGCTATGCTTGGAATATCACGTTTCACTCAAATGAGAGAACGAATCCGGAGTTCTGACATCCGTCGACGATCAAGGATCAGGGACGCTGTCTCATTTGCCAAGGTGTCGAAAATCAGATGGGCTGGTCACGTAATGAGATTTAAAGACGACCGTTGGACTAGAGCTGTTACTGATTGGATTCCACGGGATGTCAAGAGACCGCGTGGCCGCCCACCTACCAGATGGTCAGACTTCTTTGTCAAGGTCATGAACGATCGGTTTGAGGCCCTCCATGTTCCCGGAGCGAAGAGATGCCATTGGGCTACACTAGCACGCGACAGGGACAAATGGAGACGTTACTGGCGCCCGCTCGAGCAAATCGACGACTAACGGGAAGTTAAGTGATTAAGTGAAGTGATTATTTTCCTCCAGGAAAGGCTGCCTTTAGTTTGATATTTGAAGAGAGGATATTGTAATCACAAGTTACTTAGAACAACTGAGAACGTTACTGACTTAGTAGACAAATGAGATAATATGAATGGACAAAAACAGTGATAGTTGGATGAGTCAGCCTAGTAAAATTCTTTATTCTCCATTGACATATTCACTTGTATCACTTGTCATCTCGTTGTTCACTGATTTGCTCGAGCGGGCGCCAGTAACATCTGCATTCATCCCTGTCGCATGCTAGCGTAGCCCAGTGTCATATTGGAAGCTCTTTCGGGGTCAGGGTAATGAGGCCCATTATTGTTACTGTTTTTGGTGTATTGAATATGCCACTGGTAGCTTGCCAGACTCTGCTGTGGACCATTGACATATAAGCAGGTTTTTTTTTAAACTTGGTTAGTGAACCCTAAGGAAACTGGTTCAGTTTTTTCATTTTGAGATAAATCAAAAACTTTATTTTTATTTCATTAAATATTAACTGAGATTTTATTTTACTAAAATATTCAAGTAAAAACTAACTTTCTGCATTAATACTTTAATTACTGAAGCAAATACAGAGAGAACAAAACTTATTTGTATCCAACCACAGATACAAAACTTAATTTTTAATCTTAATCAAATCTTTAAAATCTTTATTACTGGGGTCAGGGAGATAGTATAGTGGTAAGGTGTAATGGCTTATAGTGCATGCGTTGACCCAGATTCCATCCCTAGCAATGCATATGGTCCCCTGAGCCAGGAGTGAGCTCTGAGAACTGTAGGGTCTTGCCCAACCCCCGACCCCACCCCTGACTGGAATTCTCTCACTGTCATAATTTATAGTTTAGGTAAAACTAGCCTAGGGATTCTTGCTTTTCCCAAGTTTATGTATACTAGGGCTGTGGGGTTTCTAGACAGTGTTCAAGGTGCCCAGAAGTTACTTCCAGTAGTACTCAGTCAGCCAAAACTAAACTCTTCATAATTGCCAGGACTAGATACAACCCTGCTCAGACTCAGCTGTGACAGGGACTACCAGGGCATGACCCAGTGATGCTTGGGATGCCATGCAGTGTCCTGACCGCCATGTTATCTCCTTGACTCCCCGATGATTATTGGGTTATTATTTTTATTTTTATTTTATTTCATTTTATTTTTTTGCTTTTTGGGTCATACCCGGCAATGCACAGGGGTTACTTCTGGCTCTGCGCTCAGGAATTACCCCTGGCGGTGCTCAGGGGACCATATGGGATGCTAGGAATCGAACCCGGGTTGGCCGCATGCAAGGCAAACGCCCTACCTGCTGTGCTCTTGCTCCAGCCCTGGATTATTATTTTTAAAGGTTAAATATTTTAGGCATGAATTTTTGTGTATGAAGAGTTTTACCTGGCATATATTTCAGTCACACCATGAAACAAATACATACATATATATATATATGAATTTTGTGAATAACTTTTTCTACTAAGATATTTCTAAATTTTAATCTAAAAGCAAAATTATTAAGAGGCAAGAGAGATAGTTAAAAGGTTTAAGGCATTTGCCTTGCACACCACTGACCGGGTTTGATTCCTGACACTGCATGTGGACTCCTGAGCACCACTGGGAGTGGCCTCAGTACAGAGCTAGTAGAAAGCCATGGCACTGTCAGGTGTGACCCATACCCCCCTAAAGTTATTAATGTTTCTACTTATAGTGTAGTAGTTAATGACAGCATTACATAGGCATTCCTCTGGTTTAAAATTCCTCATACATAGAAGTAGAACGGATGATAAACCTGGGAATTGACCTCCTATCAGTAACAAATATTATTCTAGATAGTTTGTTTATAGTTAGAAACATAGTCCTTGGCTTGCTGTTTAATCCATGTTCTCCTATAAAGGTATGTCACTTGTTTGCCCTGTTTCTTGCTCCACTTTGGAGAAGCCAGGGTTCTCTTGAGCACGTATGTCTCTCTTTCTCTCCCCTCACATTTTTCTAAATAAGTTTCAGTGTCTTGTTAGATAAGTAATAATCTTGCTTCACAAAAAAAAAAGACGAAACCCTTAATTATATTTTATATAATGTTTTGTATACTTTAAGATTATATGTTATAATTCTTAAATAAACTTTTCTAGTGTATAACAAAGAAATCATAGTACATTTAATGATGCCATGTTAAATTAAGATAAGTGCTAGTTTTTTTTTTCATAGTTTCTTCAATTATACTGCTTATAATTTCATGTTCATCTAGGAAGGTGCTGGATGGATGCTTTGGAGTTGGCTTTGAAGTGTTCCAGTCTTCTTAAACGCACAATGATCAGGGAAGGAAAGGAGCATGACCCCAGCATTTCATCAGAGAATACACATGTGACTTTGTATGGCTTATTACGTGCTAATAATCTTCACAGTGGTGACAACTTCCAGTAAGTAGATAATTTCCACTAATTTGGTGTTGTTCACCAGTCAGCAGGCCTAGAATTTTTGCAGCATATGTAGGATTGGGACTTGACTTCTTTATTACCATGACACCACCACATGCTAACATCCCTACACCACAGTTCTATTTTTAATTTTTTGGGAAAAGATCTTCAAACATAGAGATGTCACCAAGTTACCCTTCTCACTGACTATGAATGAGGAAGGCTTCTAAACTTTATACTTCACCAACACTTTTTATTTCTGACCTTTTTGAGAGGCTGCTCTCACAAGTGATGGGTGACATTGTTTTGATTTGAATTTTCCTAGTAGTAAGTGATAGCATTTTTTTATGTGAATATTGGCCATCTTTTGTTTCCTTTCAAAAAGTGTCTGTTCAGTTCTTCTCCCCATTTTTTGATAGGGTTTATTTTTTGGTTTTGAGTTTTATGAATTTTTTATATATCTTGTATATTAGCCCTTTGATGTATAATGTGAATATTTTCTTCCACTCAGTAGCACTGTAGCACTGTCGTCTCGTTGTTCATCAATTTGCTCGAGCAGGCACCAGTAACATCTCCATTGTGAGACTTGTTACTGTTTTTGGCATATCAAATACGCCACGGGGAGCTTGCCAGGCCCTTCCACTCAGTAGGATGTCTTTCTGTTTTAATGATTTTTTTTTTCAGTATAGAGGCTTTTCAGTTTTATGTAATTCCATGTATTTTACTTTTGTTTTCCTTGTTAATGGAGTTGGGTCCTTGAACACCCCACTGAATCCAATTTCATGTTTTTCTTATGTTTTTTGTAAATTTTGTATTTTGTAGATTTAGGTCTAATATCTGAGTACTTAATCCATTTTGAGTTAACTTTTGTGCATAGTGTGAACTAGTAATACAATTTCAGTATTTTGCATATAACTATCCAGTTTTGCTAGCATCATTTGTTAAGAGACTTTCTTTCTGCCATTCTTTTCTTTTGCTTCCTTTGCCCTAAATTTGGTATCCCTATATATGAGGGTTTATTTCTGAATTCTCAATCCTATGCCATTATTTAAATGTCATCTTTTGTTCTAGTAACACTGTTTTGATACTAATTTTATAGTGTAGTTTAAAGATGGGGAACATGATATCATCATTCTTATTTTTACTTAGAGTTGCTATTGCTATTCAATGAGTTTTATGGTTCTGTGTAAATTTTAGTAACTTTTTTCCTTTAATGTTTTTAATAGAAATTGCACTGAATCTGCATAATAATTTTGATTGGAGGTCCTTTTAATAAATTGAGTTATCCCAGTCCCTAAGAAAGGAATAGCTTTCCATTTCCTTGCTGTCTTCTCTTTCTTTGTGCAACTTCAAAGTCCTGATGTATAAGTCTTAAACCTCCTTTCTAGGTTGACTTCTAGGTACTTAATTTTTATTAATACAGTTGTAAATTGAACCTTTTTATTTTTTCTTTTTTTACTCTTCTTAATAAATGTTACATATCATCCTCAAATATTCTTAACCTCCTTTATTCTTCTAATCCTTTGTCTGAAGGTTAAATGATAGTGAAATTGAACGACAGCATTTTAAGGACCAAGATATGTATTCTGATAAATCTGACAAGGAAAATGATCAAGAACATGATGAGTCTGACAATGAGGTGATGGGGAAAAGTGAAGAAAGTGACACAGATACATCTGAGAGGCAAGATGACTCATATATCGAACCTGAGCCAATTGAACCTTTAAAAGAAACTACCTATACTGAACAGAGCCATGAAGAACTGGGAGAGGTAAAGAAGTTAACACATAGATGTGTCATACAAATACCAATATTTCCTATTAAATTTAAAGTTAATGTTTTTCTCACGTCGCTTTTAAAATTGAATTTGCTTGATATCAGTACCAGGTACAAAATAAATTGCAAATATTTTAATTTTCTTATTATTGTGAAGTACCTAAAATAGAAGTAAAGACAGTGCAATGTTTTTGTAATATATGTGGTGTGTGTGTGTGTGTGTGTGTGTGTGTGTGGTGTGTATGTGTAGGTGTGTATAAAATTCCCTTTAAGTTCTCTTGCTACAACCTTTTTTACCTAACATAGCTATATACTTTATTTATTTTCACATTTTAAAAATGCTTATAAAAGTGCTAAAGAAAATTCAGGTTTTATCATTAGCTGTCTTCTATATATGTATATGTCGGAAATAAATACAATATTTTAGTATTTTTGTTAATTTCCAAAGGCAGGTGAGGCTTCTCAAACAGAAACTGTTTCTGAAGAAAACAAAAGCCTTATCTGGACCTTGCTGAAGCAAGTCCGTCCTGGCATGGACCTGTCCAGAGTGGTTCTGCCTACATTTATTTTGGAACCTCGATCTTTTCTGGATAAGCTTTCAGATTACTACTACCATGCAGATTTTCTGTCTGAGTAAGTAAATTTTTTTCTTCTTAAAATAGAAGATAGTTCATGAGTGAGGGGTTTTCAGAATGCAGTTCAATGGTTGTGCCTTATCAAGATCAGATTGAAGGGGCTATCACTCTCTTCTCCATCACTTCAATAATAGCTCATAATGAAAAGCATATTTAACATCTTGCTATAATATTTTCATGTGTGACATTGAATTGCAGGGTTGCAAACTTGAGAAAAATAGAAATTCTATTTAATACCCACAGCATTGCTATCATAGGTTCCCCAGCCTATATACAAACCTCAAATTAAAGGAAGGTAGTTGGCATTCTTGGTTTTCCTTGACCTAAACCCTCATTCAGGGACTATTCTGGGACTTAAGGTTTTGTTCAAACTTATTTGTACTGCATTTTGGGGGTGAGGGGCCACATCTGTAGTTTTTCACAACTGGATACCCTCATGCATAAACCCCTCCTCTTTCTTGTCTTTGTTCATCTTGGGCATAATTCTGAAGAAGGTGGATAGAAAGGAGATAAAAGAGGACGTGGCCACTCCTTCTCTAACAGTTTCTTGGAAAACCAGTAAAAAGACATTAACTTGATGTACACAGGGGCTAGAACAATAGTACAGTGGACAAGGCGCTTACCTTGCACATGGCCAACCCTGACACACAAAGTAAAAATGCAGATTCACTTTTAAAACTAATTACTTCTGTGTCACACTTAATACCATTCTTTTTTAAAAAAAAAATATGTATAGAAACTAATTTCTCAGCATGTGAGGCAGATTTCTATATATAGGATAAAATTATCTTGAGTTGCCTGTTTTCCTAAGTTGAAAATGTATTCTCTTCTGACAGTGCACACTGTTTCCAAGCCTTTGTGAGACTCTAGGTGCTCACATACATTGCTGCAGGGCATTGCAAACTAGCATCAGCTAATAGCATTTATCAAAATGATAGATGCATTCAGTACTTGATGCATTCAGCATTTATCAAAATGATAGATGCATTCAGTACTTGATGCATTCAGTAATTCAGCTCCTACCAACAACTCTTCAAGATAAAGCTCCACTTGTACAAAGTGCTATCAAACAAGATTTTTTTTGGGGGGGTGGTGGGGGTCACACCCAGCAATGCTTAGGGGTTTCCAGTCTCTGTGCTTAGGAATTACTCTGGAATGATATGGGATGCCAGGGATCCAACACAGATCAACAACCTGCAATGCAAATGCTCTCCCCACTGTTTTGTCACTCCAGCTCCAAACAAGATTGTTGACATCGAGTTTATTATCATAAAAGAGTAGATAACTCAGATATCCAGTGATAATTGATAGATTAAACATCCACATAGGAGAAAGAGGTCTATAAAGTGATATGAAGGGACATCGAAGATTTTGTATGTGTAAAAAATAAAAAATGATGAGGCTGGAGTAATAGCACAGTGGGTAGGGCTCTTGCCTTGCATGCGGCCAACCCGGGTTCGATTCCCAGCATCCCATATAGTCCCCTGAGCACTGCCAGGAGTAATTCATGAGTGCAGAGCCAGGAGTAACCCCTGTGCATCGCCAGGTGTCACCAAAAAAGCCAAAATAAATAAACTGGAAGCTAAAAGTCAACTAGAGAAATGGTACAGTGGTAAGAACTATACTTTTTTAAATTGCTTCCATTTTGATTATATCTACAATTTTGATTATAATTTTTTAAGTAAGATAAGAGAATTAAAACTAAGATAGGAGGAGAAAATCAGGATTGTGACTTTCCAAAGAGTAGCCTTTCTACTTGGCACAATCAGTAGTAAGCCTAGGTCTAGCATACTCTATTTCACACGTTATTTTAAAAAGAAATCATAGTAGATCTTTAGAAAGTTGAATTGTATTGTAAATAATTGTTTTTTTAAAAAGAGAAGAACATAAAAATTCACTTTTGGCATGTGCACTCAGTGTTTTGTGCAGAGTTTATAGCAATGGAAAAGGGGCAGCTGAGTCAAGATTTCTGAAAATTTCTTTTTTTGAAAGGAAAATTACTCTTTTGCTCCCACTAGAATGACTAATACCTTCAATCAGTCTGGAAAATCCCTTGGTAGCACATTAAGGGGAAGCTGAAGGCTAAAAATAGTTACAATCTTTTGAGTGATTTTAAATTGTTTAACATTTTTTATGCTTTGTGATAATAATAGTAAAAATGAGGAAACATTATCAGAACTTATACTTAAAATATTATTGCTATGAGATTCTTGGTGTTTTTTGTTTGTTTTGGCATTGGACCATGTCCTGGGTGGTACTCAGGGCCCTTTCTGGATCTTTGCTCAGTGCTCAGAAGTCCATGTGGTGCCACAGATCAACCTGGCTTCTTGCATGCACAGCATGTCTTCAGCCTATTGTGCTCTCTCCAGCCCAATTATCATCTGCTTTAAACATCAAGTTTGGGGCTGGAGCAATAGTAAATTGGGTAGGGTGTTTGCCTTGTATGCAGCCAATCCAGATTCAGTCCTCAGTCTCCACCATGAATAGTTTCTGAGTTTAGAGCCAGGGTTGCCAAGTGTGACCCAAAAAGCAAAAAACACCTAATATCAACTGTACTTTTCACCTACATCTCATACTACGTTGTTAGCTTGAAATATATATGTGAGGGAGAATTTATATTTATATAAATATTATATTTATGTTAATTTTTCTAGTTTGGGGAAATAATTGACATGCATCATTGTGAGTTTGAGATGCACAGCATGAATGCACACATTTTGTGATTTATGTATATTTTGAAGTAATTAACACAAAACGTTCAGCAGCTACATTTTCTCATGTCATAAAAAATGCAGAAGGAAAAATTCTCATTGCCTTATCGGTTCTTAAGGGTTTTTAGTCTTAAGAAGTTTCTTATATATCATACAGTAGTGTTAGAGACAGTCATGTTGTGTGTACGTTGTATTATAGCCCTGTTGCTTATTAATCTTAAAAGTAGCACTGTCCTCTCATTGTTCATCGATTCACTCGAGCGGTCACCAGTAACATCTCCATTGTGAGACTTGTTGTTACTGTTTTTGGCATATATAATAGACCACAGGAAGCTTGCCAGGCTCTGCCCTGTGGGAGGATACTCTCTGTAGCTTGCTGGGCTCTCCGAGAGGGACAGAGGAATTGAACCCAATTATGGACAGGAGCATTAATCTTAAAAGTATAAGTAAAAATGTGAGTTTTTACTTTTGAGCACTTTCCTTCAGTTCATTCTGCTGATAATTAACCTCAAGTCTGATCTACTTTCATGAGTTTATTTTAATTCGGGGATTTAAAAAAAAATTCTAAGTCAGATCATACAGTGTTTATCTTTCTCTAGCTGCCTTCATCTTTCATGATGCTCTCGAGATCTATCCATATTATTGCAAATTAAAGAATTTCATCATTTGTATGACTAAATAAAAGTCCTTTGTGTTTGTGCACATTCATACATTCTTAATGACAACAAAACATTCTGAGAAGTACATCCTTGGGCAATTTTGTTGTTGTGTGAATGTTGTAGAGTATAGTTATACAAACCAATAAACTACACATCTAGTCTAAATAATATAGCTTGTTGGGACAGCCATTATATATATGTTCATCCCAACATATTTATCAGTGTGAATTGTGACTATATATTAAAATTTCTTTATCTGCATTTATTTATAGGCACATAGGTTTGTTTCAATGACTTGACTGTTAAAAATAGTGCTGCTATTGAGCCCAAAGTGGTTGTATAGTGGGTAGGGTGTTTTTCTACATGCAGCCAGCCTGGGTTTTATCCCTGGCACCCAATATGATCCCCAGGCATTGCCTGGCTCTGAGTACAGAATCAGGGTAAGAACAGAGCACCGCTGGATGTGATCAAAAAAATAAACAAAAAAAATGCTGCTATTAATGAGGGTGCAAATATCTCTTTGGGCTAGTATTTTTGTTTCCTTTGAATATATTCTGGGAAGTAGAATATATTCATTTAGTAGTTCATTTAGTTCACTAGTTCATTTAGTAGTTCCATTTTTAATTTTGTGGGCTCTCTATACTGCTTTCATTAGTGGTTGTATCAATTTATAGTCCCACAAACACTGTACTCAAGGCTCCCTTTCTTTCATATTCATATGCATTTGCATTCATATTGCCCATCTTTTTGATGATGGCCATCTTAGGAATGAGGTGATATCTGACTCTCTCCCTCTCCCTCTCTCTCTCCCCCACCCCCTCCATCTCCTTCTCCCTCTCCCATCCAAGACAGTTTTCTAGATATTGGTAGCAATAGGATTAACAGCATATCTAGATATTTAAATGGAATTCAGGGTCATTATTGTCCCAGGCAAAGAAACAGTATACTTTTTTTACCTAACAGTATAAATTTTATCTATGACCAGCAAGCCATTCCCATAGTCTTTGCTTTTAATTTTCATGAGTTTCTTTTCTGTTTCTGCTTAAATGTCTTCCCTTTCTTGTTCATCTCCTTGTGCTGCTCCAGGGTTTTTTTCTTCCACCTTTATAGCCAGAAATGCCATCTGCTGCCCCTTCCCCTATGGTGTAAGTACACGTGTCTCTAAAGATTAATGAGTCACAATTCTGTGTTTATCATTTTGTGTTTTAGGGCTGCTCTTGAAGAAAATCCTTATTTCCGTTTGAAGAAAGTAGTAAAGTGGTATTTGTCAGGATTTTATAAAAAGCCAAAGGTATTTTCTTTTGTCTTATATGGGTTTTTTTAAATGGGATCTTTAACTTTTTTTTAATTAATAATTGTACTACAAGAAATCTTTGAGCTAGTAAAATTGCAAACATTTAGTCACTAGACCTATATTGTAATTGAAGTCATTTCATCTCATTACACTACTGTGAAATTTTATAAACCTGGCTCATAAATGTTTAATTAAATCTATTTTAACTGGTATAAAATAATTCAGATCCTCTGTATTTATCATTTTAAATTTGTGTGTATTTTACTAGGGATTGAAGAAACCTTATAATCCAATACTTGGTGAGACTTTCCGTTGCTTGTGGATTCATCCCAGAACAAACAGCAAAACCTTTTATATTGCTGAACAGGTACTAGACATGCATGTTATAGAGAAAAGAAAAACTAATTCGGAAGTTATTGAGATTTGAGGGTGTTGGGAGTAGGGAAGAAAGCACACTGAATGGTACTCAGGGCTTACTCCTAGTTCTATACTCAGGGATCACTGGTGGTGCTCAGAGGATCGTATGGATACCACACTGGCTGTGTGCAAGGCAGCCATTGAACCTCTCCAAGCACTAATCAGAATACTACCATTCTGGCTCCATTATTGGAATTTTTTAATAGATATACTAATTCACTAAATTCTGTGGATGAATTTTATTATTGGTGCCCATATGATAGTGCACATTTAACCATTTAGTAAAGAACGTGATACATATTTAACTATTTAGTAATGAATAGTACCATATTTAAAAGTAATTTTATTATAGTTATAGGATACTGTGATCAAAAGTAAATATTTTTCCTGTCTGACCCCTCTCCTCTTTTTTTTTCTTTTTGTTTTCTTTGTTTGTTTGTTTGTTTGTTTGTTTGGGAGCCATACCTGGTGGTGCTCAGGGCTTGTTCATGGCACAGTACTTAGGAATCATTTGGTTAGGCTCAGTGGACCATAGGGAATACCAGGGGTTAAACCAGGTTTGCTGTGTGCAAGGTAAACACCTTATCCCATGTGCCTCTCTAGCTTATCCCCAGTTTTTTGATCAAATTCCTATTTCCAAAACACTTTTTTTTATCATATATAAAATTCTAAACTAGGTACCAGGAAAATTGCTCAAGTGGCAGACAGAGCACATGACTCTCATACAGGAGGCCCTGAATTTGATTCTTATAGCACAAAGGCCCCTGAATACTGTTAGGGTTGCCCTGGTGATCCAGTAGTTATTCTAAGCCTGAGTACCACACCATCGGGCTGTACTTATGGAACAACCATCGCCAGCAATAGCCATTGAACCTCTCCAAGCACTAATGAGGATGACTCTGTACCAAAAAAAGTTCTTCAGGGTTCCTCAGTTCCCAAATAAAATTTACACCCATTTGTCCACATTTAGGTTTTCTAAATTTATCTCAAATTATATGCCCTCCATTGCACTTATATCTAACTATACATAATTATATAACCTGATAATTATAGTTCCTTGTCTAATTATATTTAAATTTATTTTTCTTACCCCAATATTTCTTCTCAACTATTCTTCATAAGTCATGAGCTAATTATCACTCAGGAGCCATCTCTAGCATCCAGTGACTTCTCCCTTCACAAAATTATGTATTGCTTTCGTGACTGTTCTTTAATCTGTTATTTTAGCACAGTATTTAACTTTTTTTACAGAATATTTCTGTAACTGGTTTGCTAGCTTCTTAAAGATATATTTTCCCCACTTTTGTTGTACACATAGTAAACAAAAAAAAATTCTTAGTTTCAAGCATTCAATAATTTAGACCAGGATACCTCTATATTAAAGATTTTGAATCCTCTCCCATTCTAATGGCATGAGGAATATGACATTCTTATTTATAGTGGCTCATATTATAACCCCTTATATGTAAGGAGATTGAGGAAACCATATATCATTTGAAAAATCTTACTCTTCCCTTAGGATTTTCATTGTTTGAGCACCTCAGACTGAAAACATTTATGAGTCTTAATTTGTTTAATAATGATGATAATACCTTGCCTATTAATTCACTATAATTCTTCATTAAGTTAAAAATATTTAGAAGAGTTAAATTATTTTGGCCTTACCTCTTTTAGAGCTTTAAATGTGGGGCCAGAGTGATGGTACAATGGGTAGAGGGTTTGCCTTGCATGCGACTGACCCATATGGTCCCCCAAGCACCACCAGGAGTAATTTCTGAGTGCAGAGCTAGGAGTAACCCCTGAGCATCACCAGTTGTGAACCCTCCCCCACTCCCCCCCACACACACACTGTAGCACTGTAGCATTGTCCTCCCATTGTTCATCGATTTGCTCGAGCGAGCCCAGTAACATCTCCATTGTGAGACTTGTTATATCGAATACATCACAGGTAGCTTGCCAGGCTTTGCCATGCAGGTGAGATACTCTCAGTAGCTTGCCGGGCTCTCCGAGAGGGGCGGAGGAATCGAACCCAGGTCAGCCCGGTCGGCCGCATGCAAGGCAAATGCCCTACCCTCTGTGCTATCACTCCACCTCCCCCCATAAAAAGATAGAACTTTAAGTGTGTACATATTGAAATGGTAGATCTCTAAAAAACATATTAATCAGAGCTTTGGTAGTTGACTAAAATCTATTCAGTAATCCATGTGATGACTCACTACGGTGTTAGGTATTTATTACTGCTTAACAGATTAATGCCTAGACAGACATATAATCTGATATGCTGAGGTTCAGTAACCAAGGCTGCTTAGCCGACAGGCTCTGTCTCAGGTCTTCTCAGAAGGTTGCAATTAAGAAGTCCGTCCATTTTGATAGCTGAAGGTTTGATTAGGCTTGAAGATTTCAGTTCTCAGCTCATCACTTACATCTGAGAAAGGAATTTAGTTTCTCACTACCTGGCCTTTTCCAAAGTGTTGTTCACAATATGTAAGCTGACCTTTCAGGGATAATGAAAGGGATAGAGGGATACCATGGTGAATGGATCTTAGGGCACTTCTACAAAGATCCACTTTGCGACATTTTAAGAGAAACATACTTTACAGAGGCATGCTTTTTTCTCGTGAGACTCTTATTACAGTGTTTCCCAAGTGTACGATTTCAAGCCTATGTTCTTGAATATGTATCTCTCTTTTTTTCTGCTTTTTTTTCCATTCTGAATAAGCCTGTGTTCTCACCTGATAATGTTTTCCTCTCTTACTCTTCTCTCATGTCTAAGTAAATTTCATCCAATAAAAAACTATTTTGCTTCACTTAAAAAAAAAAAAGAAGAAGAAGAAAAGAAGAGAAGTAGTGGATAGGGTGTTTGCCTTGCATGCAGCCAATCCGTGTTCTATCCCCAGCATCCCATATGTCCCCCAAGCACTGCCAGGAATGATTCCTGAGTGCCAAGCCAGGAGTAACCCCTGAGTATCGCTGGATGGGACCCCAAAAAAGCAATAAAAATATAATGTATTCCAATTCAGCCAAGCACCATTTCTGTGGAGTTCTTAGCTGATTATAATGTCCAGTGAGGCTAACGTTACAATTGGGGCCTGGAGAAATAGCACAGAGTTAATGCAGTTGCCTTGCTTACTGATGACCCTAGCTCAATCTCCACTTATGATCCCCTGAGTACTACTAGGAGTTAACCCAGAGAATGGATTCTGAGCACTGCAGGGTGTGGCCCATAAGACAAAAAGAAAAATAAAAAGAAGAAGTATTTTCAGTGGGTTACAGACTTGATTTTTTTTTTTTTCTGAAAAGTGGGTGGTAGACCAAATAAGCTTGGGAGCCTCTGTTAAGAGCGGCTATACAGGGGCTGGAGCAATAGCACCGTGGGTAGGGCATCTGCCTTGCATGCACCCGACCCGGGTTCTATTCCCAGCATCCCATATGGTCCCCTGAGCACTGCCAAGAGTAATTTCTGAGTGCCGATCCAGGAGTAACCCCTGAGCACTGCTGGGTGTAACACACACACACACACACACACACACACACACACACACACACACGAATGGCTATACAACTATTAATATGGAATTCTTAAAATGTTTTTTGTTGGTTTGTAAAGTATACATTAAAAACTTAAAAATTTTGATAGCGCAATAATATGTTTATTGTACTTTGTTTTTTTCTATACTTAATAGGTGTCCCATCATCCACCAATATCTGCCTTTTATGTTAGTAACCGGAAAGATGGATTTTGCCTTAGTGGCAGTATCCTTGCTAAGTCTAAGTTCTATGGTGAGTTTCCCTTTGTTTCAGTCTCCATGTTTTTCTGGTAGGGGAAAGATAGTATTTTTCTGTTAATTTTTATTAGTGTCTTGGACTGTTTACGGTGTGAAATTTATATATCCTGTTAAGATTTATATTTACTTGCATAATGCTTTTTATGATGTTTTTCTTTGCCTATTCATAAATATATGACTATCATCATGAATACCATTTACAAAAGACAATAATGAACTTTTTTGAATTGCAGTAACATTGTGTTATAAGCTTCAGGTGTGCTTCATTTCATCAGCCTGTGTATTTAACTACATGAAGTTTCACAGCTGATTGTGAAATTCATCTTCCATCAAACATAGTGTATCTCTAATCTTTAGCGCTTCTAAAATTTGGGGTTTTATTGAGGAGAAGAGTGAGCCACACCTCCAGCATTGAATTAGTGACTAGCAACCACACCATGTCAGGGATTGAACAAGGGCTTCCCTCATACAAAGTGTGCACTATCTGTTGTAGTCCAACCCTCAAAAAAGGAACTTTATTGGCATGCAGACAACTTGAGTTGAGAATGATGTCTACCAGCAAAGATGGAGAATAATTTCACTAGCAAAGTTTTTTATTTCACCTCAGTATATCTGAGAAGGGTCAGTTTTTCTATTTTAGTTTTTGAATAGAGAAGGGATCCAAGTACATTTAAATACTTGGTTCAGGGCCAATCAGTAGTAATACATTTTTTTCTTCAGTTTAATTTTTAATAGGTAAACAGGATACAACTCTGGAAACCCGTCCCCTGCCCCCTGTGGGAAATAATCCAGGAATTGTTCGGTAGTGATACTTAATTTTGGTTAAAACACACATAAACACACACACAGACCCAGGTACTCAAATACATAGACTCATATATAAATGCAGAAATTCCAATCCTAAGTATTAAAATAAGAAGTGAAATTCTGTGATTATACAAAGTCTTGACATGAATGCTATAGGAGCATTATTCATAGTAAGTCATGACTGATCCAACTGAAATGGCCACCAACAAATATAGAAATGCTATCTGCTAACTGTTCCTCACAAAAAGGAGAAAAGGTTGATAAGAACAGTTCGCTTAAATTAAAAACATTTTGCTAAATAAAAGTAGTTCAGCAGAATGGAGTACACATTCTATGATGTCATCTCTACAAAATTTTAAAATTGGTAAAATCACAGTGGAAAAAAAAAAAACCAGACTGATGGTTTCCTAAGGCTCAAAGGATGGATTGATTGCTAAAGAGCAAGGGGCAACCTTTCGTGTTGATAGAAAGTTTTCATTTTAATTGTGGTATTAGAGGTTACATGACTGGACATAGTTGTCAAGACCATCTGAAGGCACACTTAAAATGGATATAGAAATTGAATGTCAGTTTTATTGGGCAGGGGTGGCAGGGGTGGTGGGCTTCCATGCAGTGGTCGGGGCCATATGGTGCCAGTGACCGAACTTGGACCTCTGCCTGCCTTGGTTTGTGCTCCATTCTTATACACTGTTCCCTGATTTAATTTATCACTTTTAAGATTATAATTAATGGGTAGGTATTCTAACTATGTCCTGTTTGATTTAGTTTTGTAAAATTTTACAAACTGTTTCAGGAAACTCATTGTCTGCAATATTGGAAGGAGAAGCACGGTTAACGTTCTTGAATAGAGGTGAAGATTATGTAATGACAATGCCGTATGCTCATTGTAAAGGTAAATATTTTTCATACTTGGCGAAGCAGAGCTTGAGTCTGAAACCTTAGACTACTCAGGTAGTAGTCTATCCTGACACCCTAATATTTCTCATACTTGAGCTATATCCCTTACACTTTCTTTTTAAGTAAATGTGTATGGCCAGAATGGCTTATGTTTTGAGATTGATAGAGCCATCCTTTTGTTTGAAAGTGTCCTTTGTTTATAAACACTTGGAATTCTTGGTATCTGTTGTACATTCCTGTGGTGAATTAAATCACATTCAGTGAACTTGTGGCACAGTTTTGTTGGAAAAGGTTATTTTATAATAGAATTTCATTTGCCAAATGTGCATTGGAGTCAGGGTGTGGGGCAGAAGCTACTCCTGGCTCTGTCTGAGGAGGCATTTACTGGGGCTAAACCTGGGCTTCTCTCATGCACGGAAAGCATGTGCTGAGCCCGCTCAGTTCTCTCTGTGGCCTTATATACAGGATTTAAAATTCACTAAACTGGTCATTATTTTGGATTAGTTAAATCAAATGTATTTCCATCTTCTCACCACCACCCCTCTTTCAAATTTTAATACACTGAATTTCTAGGTACCATCATTATTTGACAATTTCTTAAAAGTTATTTTCCCCCCTTTATTTAGTCTGCAGATAAAAATTAAAGAATACTATGATTTTTGACCAAGCATTCAGCTATTCTGTGTATCTGTAAACTCATTTCATCATTTCAGCAGTTCTCTAAAGTTTAGAATATTGTCCCTGTTTTATGGATGAGGAATTGAGACACTAAGGTTAACTTACTGCATACTATATTTTGGTTGTTATACTCTCTTCTCTCTTCCCTGTTTTCTTTCCCTCTCCCCCCTTTTCTTTCCTTCACTCTCTTTCCCCCTTCTTCTGTTTCTCACTTTCCCACCTCTTGCATGTCTTAAATAAAGTTATTTACTTTTTTTTAAAGAAAGGAGAAGAGATAACTTACTTGCAGTTATAGAGCAAGGACACTTGACTTGGGCATCATGTGCACTGTCCTTTCTAACCCATTGCTTTAAAATAAGTTTAAAATGATTATCTCCTATTTTAGGAATTGATACATTAAAAACAAATTGGTGGAGCTGGAGAGTTAGTACAGTAGGTAAGGCATTTGCCTTGCACTCTGTAGGCACAGTTTGATCCCAGCACCCCACATGGTTCCCTGAGCACTACCAGGAGTGATTCCTGAGTGCAGAGCCAGGAGTAACCCCTGCTCAGTGACGGGTGTGCCACCCCCACCCCCGAAAAAAAATAAAACAGACATCAGTTTACATGATTTTATTTCACAAATTAGAAAACTCAAGGATAGGGGTAAGAGTGTTCTCTATAGCAAACCCCCAGCATTTGGTAAGCTTGCTAAGGTTCCGGTCTTGGTGGCTCCCATTTACTTGGTACTACATAGAATATTAGCAAACCTGTGGCTCGGGCAGATCATTCTTAGAGCTTCAGGTGTAATCTTGAACTAAATGTGAAGTATTTGAAAAATTAAAGTGGTAAGAACATATTTTTAAATTTTACATCTTTTGAGGGCTGGAGCGACAGCACAGCAGGTAGGGCATTTGCCTTGCATGCAGCGGACCCGGGTTCGATTCCTCTGCCCCTCCCGGAGAGCCTGGCAAGCTACCCAGAATATCCTGCCTGCACGGCAGAGCCTAGTAAGCTCCCTGTGGCGTATTTGATGTGCCAAAAACAGTAACAACAAGTCTCACAATGGAGATGTTACTGGTGCCTGCTCGAGAAAATCGATGAACAACCTGAGGACAGTGCTACTACAGTGCTACATCTTTTGGAATAAGTAAAACAACAGTTTACATAGATACCCATACCATACCCAGCTAACTACAGGAAAACTTTTTTCATAGTAGTGGCAAAGTTTTTCATATCAAGAGCATTTTATTACATGGAAAATTATTACAACTTTGTGAACAAAATAGGAAGTAATTCCTTTCACCCATGTTTATTTTCTAAAGTGTGCTCTCTTATTAGTCTCACAAATGGTTTCACGAAAGAAGAGTTTCGTTGCCAAATAAGTATGCAAAAACTCTTGGTCTTTTTTCCTGTTCCTTTTTATTTTTTCTTTTAAATTAGCACTATGTGCTTGCATATATGAAGACTGCTTTTGGAGTTTAGTCTGAGAACAGATAATCACATTCATTCTCTTTCTCTCTGTCTCTGTCTCCCTCCCCTCCCCCTACCTTTTCTCTCAAAAATGGAAATGTTCTAACTTTAAGCCACAGAACTGATTGAGCAAATTTTTTAAATTGCATTTGTCTGTTCTAAACAGTTGATTCTTATTCACAGCAGTCATGTTCTATAACAAACCCTGAATTAGTGTAATCATTGCTCTTAGAGGAACCAAAGTATAATTCCTGGGAGCCTCTTCTCACATTTTCCTCAAACAATCAGTGCTAATCTGGCTCTTCTTTATTTGGGGGAGGGGCTTCCTGACAGTACTTCAGGCCTGGGAACACTCTTTGGTGACACAGGGCCTGACTGTGTGGGCCAGATTCTTTCTTATGCTTGGGCTCAGTATTTTTGGCCTGAGGACAACCAGAATCACCCTTGCAGTGTTCAGAGTACCATGAAGATGCCATTTCATCATGACTCATAAGAGTCGTTTTCAACAGTAAAATTACCAACCAAGAAAAGGACAAAAATAGTGGCACAAAGTATACTTCAAAATGAATATGTTGTGGGAGGGCCCTTACAGTAGGAGGCCCTAGCTAGAATGTTCATGCTAGGCAAGTCAAAGGGTTTGCCACTTCTTGTATGGGCATAGTAACGAAAACAGTACATAGATGTCGATTTTGGAGTTGCCAGGAATCTGTGGATTTGCAAATATGTGATCTATAATAATAGGAATCAGTTGTTATCTTTTCAAATACTAACTTAATTTTTAGTGAGTGGAGCAGAATGCCCATAAATAATAAATGATAATTAATATTTATGTAGTAATTATTTGTATTATAAATATATTGATCATTAAAAGTATTTTATTTTTAGAAAAATCTATTATAAATTTCTCTTCTTATTAGTGTTTTCTGCAACAATTTTAAAAACTTTTTTCCTTAGGAATTCTTTATGGCACCATGACACTGGAGCTTGGTGGAACAGTCAATATTACATGTCAAAAAACTGGATATAGTGCAATACTTGAATTCAAACTAAAGGTTTGTATAGAATGATAGAAGGCATGCCTAATTAAAGGAGAATGATATTACATTAATCACTGTCACTGTCCTTCTGTTGTTCACCGATTTGCTCGAGCAGGCCCATTAACATTGTGAGACTTGTTACTGTGTTTGACATATTGAATACGTCACGGATAGCTTGCCAGGCTTTGCAGTGCGGGCGAGATACTCTTGGTAGCTTGCTGGGCTCTTCGAGAGGGGAGGAGGAATCGAACCCGGGTCGGCTGGGTCAGCCGCGTGCAAAGCATACAGTTTAGGGGCCAGAGTGATTGTAGTATAGTGGGCAGGTTTCTTACCTCTAATGCAGCTGACCCACGTTCGATCCCCAGCACCCCATATGGTCCCTGAGTCTTCTAAGAGTGATCCCTGAGTGTAGAGCCAGGGGTAAGCTTTGAGCACAGCCAGGTATGGCCCAAAAGCAAAAACAAAACAAAACAGAAAGAGCAAAGTTTAGTTCCTAATTAAGGACTAACTATAGGAACACAAAATTTGAGCTCTGGATATAGATCAGAGCAGGACACTTGCCTTGCATGTTTATGGCTTTTGAGTTCAATCTCCTATAGCACAAGTACAAAGCAAACCACACAACTATTGAAAGGATAGCCTCGAATGATTCAAAACAACATAGAGCCATCACTATCTGTTTTAATTTTTAGTTAATAAAATTGATAGCATAAAGGATGTGAGATTTAAGGAATGTGTAGAAATTTCTCAGTAAATTATGTAGCACTGTAGCACTGTCCTCCCATTGTTTATCAATTTGCTCAAGTGGGAACCAGTAACGTCTTCATTCTGAAACTTGTTATTGTTTTTGGCATATTGAATATATCACGGGGAGCTTGCCAGGCTCTGCCGTGCGGGCGGGGTACTCTCTATAGCTTGCCGGGGTCTCCGAGAGGTATGGAGGAATCGAGCCCAGGCCAGCTGCATGCAAGGCAAATGCCCTACCTGCTGTGCTAGCTTCGTACACTGAGACAGAATTCTGTTAGTTCCTAGTTGTTCATAATAACTGACTCTAAAACTCACAAACTGAAAACAGCTGCCTTCAGATCCTTGGAGTTCTGCATGTCAGCAAATACAACAAAACAACTCTGATCCTGTTGGAGATGTGTCTGCTACATGATGTTTGCTGCTTCAGTTATTTAAGACTTGCAGATTACAAGAGATTTGACAGTAGGACCCTGGATCATCTGAAAGTTCATAATTTTTGCCTAGAAACTGGGGTGAGATGACCACAGATCTAGGACTATTAATCTGGGCACCTTTGTACATGGCTTTCCCCAGTGCCTTATTCTTTAAAGCCTGGCATGAACATGGTAATCTTGTCTCTCTATCCATGACCGAACCTCTGAAGTCAAATATCATATCTTCCACTATCCTCTAATCATTGAGGAATTGTGAATCCACCCACATTCAAGGTGAAGGAATATAGACCCCACTTCTCAATGGGTGAATGATTTAAGGAAGAGCTTGTGGGCTGGAGGGAGAAGATACAGTTTGATGCCACCTTGGAAAAATTTTGTGCTTCAGAGTTAGAGGAAAATATAAAATCTTCCACAGTGTCAGTTATAGTGGGAGAATAGTAAATTATATTTTTACTATAAGCTAAGATTTCTATAAACTAACATGTTATTGAAGCTGAAATTTTAGTACAACTGGTTGAGCATTTGCCCTGCATATGGCTGGCCCAGGTTTGATAGCTGGCACTCCGTATGACACCAGAACATGCCAAGAGTAAAAGAGTGAACCTAGAGTATAGAACCAGAAGTACTGGCTAGTTATGACCCCAAAACAGAGCAAAAAAAAAAAAAAAACCCACCTAGCATTTATTACTAAATTGCTCCAGAGTTGCAATAGCAACTCCAGTAGCAACTTTTCTCTACAAAGAAGGATCTCTTTTTAGTATAATTTGATGCTTTGATGCTTTGCCCTTTGCTTGATTTTTTTTCATCTTAGCAAATAATTTCACATATACTTGAAAATCCTGGCAAAAAGATATTTAAGTTATGATATCTTTATGGTCATTAAGGGTGATTGGTGCATTGAATTTTGTCTCTGAGAGAAGTTAGTAAAAGAAAAAAATGTAGTAAGTCAAATTTTGTTTCTTGGAGTATGGCCAGAGTTTATGTTTTGTGGAGTTTTTGGTTGAGTATTGCTTTACTATTTTGTTTTGAAGGAGGTGTTATTTCTTCAGTAGTGGAGTTTAAATTCCTTAGGTTTACTGACTTGTTCTTGATTAATGTATTACAACATTGAGAGTATATTTCTTCAGTCAGAAGAGAACATATTAGTCAGTTATAAGAATATCAATTAGTCAGCTATAGAAATGTAATTTTTCTAGATGCAATCTCTTTCTTGTCTATTTTTTTCACAGCAGCAAATTCAAAGTTCTTTGAACTGAATTATGAGTTAGCATTTCATCAGTAGCACAATCCCTATACAATTACATTTATGGTTTTTTGTCTACATTGCATATAAATGTGTAATAATAAAATGGTTTTTAACACTTTTCTCTTTTAAAAGCCATTTTTAGGTAGCAGTGACTGTGTTAATCAAATATCAGGAAAACTTAAATTGGGAAAGGAAGTCTTAGCTACTTTGGAAGGCCATTGGGTAAGTATTTCATTGCCTAAAGTACCAGTGTCCAAAGAAAGTAAACTTCAGCTTGGAACAAATATTTTGGTGTTTATTACCAGTGATATTTTAAGTAACATTTTATGATTTCAAAATCTCTGATTAATGAAATTTTAAAATGTTAATATAGCACTTATAGAGCTGGGAAATGACTCCAAGAAAGGCATGCAGGAGCTCTGGGTTTAATCCCCAGCATAGCATGTTTCTTGATTTCTAACAGATGTAGTTCCCTCAAAGATTTTGTTTAAAAATTACTGATTTAATTAATTTGATAGTCAATATAATTGCCCTACAGGGTGAATACTGTTATTTTCTCATTTTCCAGAGGAAGAAACATATCTAGAAAACACCGGTAATTCAGTGATGGAACAAAAATTTCAGCCTGACTCTGACTTAGAATAAAGAAACACTTCCAATTAGATAACAATTCTTTGAGGAATATGGAAAAAATATAGATGGTATTTAAAAGTAGTAGCTTTTAGTTATTTATCTGTTGATCTAAACTCACATTTATGTCATTGATTGTTAAGAAGGACTTTAATAAAAATGGCCATGATACTAGTTAGCATTCCCACTATGTGACCTGGTAATTGCTATTTTCTGCCTTATAGTTAGCAAAAACAAAAAGAAGAGAGAAAAAAGAATGAAATTTGATCTAGAGTTCTAAACAATAACATTTTAATTTTATTTCAATATAGGATAGTGAAGTTTTTATTAATGAGAAAAAGACTGATAATTCAGAGGTTTTCTGGAATCCAACACCAGACATTAAGCAATGGAGACTAATAAGGCACACTGTAAAATATGAAGAGCAAGGAGATTTTGAATCAGAGAAGTAAGTATTCATTTTTCAGTTAAATGCATGAAGATGAAAGAAAAAAAATTTTATCCCTCGGTGTTGGGTTTTCTTTTCTCTGCCTTCAAGTCATATTTTAATTCTACAAAATAATGTAACATTTGTGAAATGTGATAGGATTCTGTCTTGGCACTTATAATTGTCAAATGAATGTAATCAAAGTTATATTTCTCTGTAACTGAAACTTTCATTGTTCCTTTCTTATATGCTACAGGATTTATCAGAAACGGGGAAAAAAAAACCAAAAAAACCTCTTTTGCCTAAAATTGTAGTGCTAATATTGATATTCTTGGTTTTTACCTGGCAGTTTTACCTAGCAGACTAGGTTAGGTGTGCATAATTCTGTGTGAAGGAAGTGCTATAAAATCTATTCTGCTTCCTTTTTAAAATACAAGAATAATGCCACTAAATGTGTATAAATAACAGTTAAGGCCATAGTTTCTGTTCCTATGTCATGAATTTCTTGATTATGCTTTTCAACCCAAAGTATTATACATATATGGTTTTATTTTATTTTATTCTCAGTTAGTAAAAGGAAGCAGTTTAGTGTTTAAAAGAGAGAGAGAGAGAGAGGGAGAGAGAGAGAGAGAGAGAGAAACACTATAAGAGGTGCTTTATGCACTTTATCACTTAACATCTCATTACTCATCAATTTGCTCAAGTGGGTGCCAGTAACATCTCCATTCATCCCTGTCGCATGTTAGTGTAGCCCAATAGCATCTGCTTGTTCTAGGAACATGAAGAGCCTCAAACTGATCGTTCAGGGTTTGACGAAGAAGTCTGACCATCTTTATAGGTGGATGGCTATGCGATCTTTTAACATCCTATGGAATCCAGTCAGTAATGGCTCTAGTCCAAAGGTCATTTCCAAATCTCATTACATGTCCAGCCCATGTGATTTTCGACGCCTTGGCAAATGAGACAGCGTCCCTGATTCTTGACCATGGACGGAAGTCAGAACTCCGGATTCTTTCTCTCACTTGAGTGATACTCCAAGCATAGCTCTTTCAGTTCCTCTTTGGGAGACCCGAGTAGCGTTCTCATCCTGTTTTCATAGGGCCGAGGTCTCTGAGGTGTATGTTATTGCAGGGAGAACAGTGGAATCAAAGAGATGTGTGCCCAGAGCCGGAGGTTCTTCATCCTCTTATCTATTTCTTTGATGCTCTTGAAGGCATTCCAAGCCGCTCTCTGCCTCCTGCGCAACTCAGATGTCAGGTCATTCGTCATGTTGACTTCTCGACCTAGGTACACATAACTGCTGCATTCAGAGATGTTCATTTCATTGAGACTGAATGGAACATCAGGAGCGAGTCTGTTTCTCATGAACATTGTCTTTGTGAGATTCAGCTGCAGTCCAAACTTTTCACACTCACGGTCTAAGTTGGCCAGCATTTGTACCGCTTGGCTAATGTTTGGTGTTATTAGAATGATGTCATCAGTGGAACGGAGGTGGTGTAGCTGCCAACTGTCTATCTTCACTCCCATTCCTTCCCATTCTAGTCGTCACATGACATTCTCGAGGGTGGCACTAAAGAGTTTCGGTGAAATGGTGTCACCCTGACGAACCCCTTTCTTTTTTTTTTTTTTTTTTTTTTTTTTTTTTATAGGTTAATGTTTTTTTTTTTTTTTTTTTTTTTTTTTTTTTTTTTATTTATTGAATCACTGTGGGAAAGGTTACAAAGCTTTCAGGTTTATGTCTCAGTCATGCAAATATCAAACACATTTCCCTTTACCAATACTTATTTTGTCCCATGAAGAACCCCAATAAAACCCCACCCCCCACCCCTCCCCGTCCCTGTGAGGCAGATGAATTCTAGTTAACACTCTATCCGCTTTGATTAGATTGTTTCAATAAAAGATTCACCACTATTATTTAGAGTTTACCCCCCCCCCCCAAATCAGACATGCTGAAAAAGCATTGTGGAGTGATTTGCTTTCTCCAGCTGGGTTCAAGAATTAAATGTTGGTTTTGGATTTCTGCTATTTTACTTATTGACCCTGGAAGTATTTCTACTGAAAGTCAGATAGTTAAGAAATTGGTTTCTGTGTTCTGGAGTCGTGGCCGTGCTGGAGAGCCGCTCGTGGGGGGCAACTGGTGGCCTCGGTAGAGCGTGAAGGGCGGAGTGAAACGCCCCCCTTCCCATGAGGTTTTAGTCGCCCCCACACTCCCGGCTCATACCTGCTGTCCACAAGGCTCCCATGTGGCCGCCATCTTTCTTTCCAGAGAGGAGAGGGCGAATGGGGCAACACCCTTTCCCCTCCGGCAGACTTGATGGGCTGGATCAACGCATAGTCCATTCACTTTTCTGCTCCAAGCTGCTGGGTTCTGCATTAAGTCCTTGTGCTTCTGGGGCCATGGCCGTGCTGGAGAGCCGCTCGTGGGGGGCAACTGGTGACCTCGGTAGGGCATGAAGGACGGACCGGAACGCCCCCCGACCCATGAGGTTTTAGTCGCCCCCACTCCCCCGGCTCATACCTGCTGTCCACAAGGCTCCCATGTGGCCGCCATCTTTCTTTCCAGAGAGGAGAGGGCGAATGGGGCAACACCCTTTCCCCTCCGGCAGACTTGATGGCCTGGATCAATGCATAGTCCGTTCACTTTTCTGCTCCAAGCTGCTGGGTTCTGCATTAAGTCCTTGTGCTTCTGGGGCCGTGGCTGTGCTGGAGAGCCGCTCGTGGGGGGCACCTGGTGACCTCGGTAGGGCGTGAAGGACGGACCGGAACGCTCCCCTTCCCATGAAGTTTTAGTCGCCCCCACACCCCCGGCTCATACCTGCTGTCCACAAGGCTCCCATGTGGCCGCCATCTTTCTTTCCAGAGGGAGGAGGGCGGAAGGGAGCAACACCCTTTCCCCTCTGGGCAGAAATGATTGCCGGGATTAACGCATAGTCCTTTCACTTTTCTGCTCCAAGCTGCTGGGTTCTGCATTAAGCCCTTGTGCTTCTGGGGCTGTGGCCGTGCTGGAGAGCCGCTCGTGGGGGGCAACTGGTGACCTCGGTAGGGCGTGAAGGACGGACCGGAACGCCCCCCTTCCCATGAGGTTTTAGTCGCCCCCACACCCCCGGCTCATACCTGCTGTCCACAAGGCTCCCATGTGGCCGCCATCTTTCTTTCCAGAGAGGAGAGGGCGAATGGGGCAACACCCTTTCCCCTCCGGCAGACTTGATGGCCTGGGTCAATGCATAGTCCGTTCACTTTTCTGCTCCAAGCTGCTGGGTTCTGCATTAAGTCCTTGTGCTTCTGGGGCCGTGGCTGTGCTGGAGAGCCGCTCGTGGGGGGTGACTGGTGACCTCGGTAGGGCGTGAAGGACGGACCGGAACGCCCCCCTTCCCATGAGGGAACCCCTTTCTTGACATGGATGATCATCACTTCCTTGTAGAATGGTGAGATCCTGGTAGTGAATCCGTAATACAGCTCATGGAGGATCCTGATGTATTGAGTTTGAACACTCTGTTTGGCTAGGGCTTCGATGACCTCTTCAGTCTCAACATAATCAAAGGCCTTCTTTTAATCAGTGAACATTAGGCAGAGCAGTGTCTTGAACTACCGAGAAACCTCAATGAGCTTGGTTATTGTGTGGATATGGTCGATCGTCCTGAATCCTTTTCAGAATCCGGCTTGCTCACATGGTTGTCCTTCATCTAGTGTTCTGCCAATCCTACTCAGAATGACTCGAGTGAACAGCTTGTAGACGACAGACAGTAGGCAGATCGGGTGATAGTTGCCAATGTCGTGGATGTCTCCCTTCTTGTACAGTAGTACAGTACTGCTGGTTTTCCACTGGGATGGAACCTTGCATTCAGACAGGTAGGGTGTGAAGAGCCCAGCCAGTGTATTGATGAGTTCTGGCAGCAGGTTGTTCAGGTGTTCAGGTCTGACCTTGTCTGGGTCAGATGCTGTTTGCTTCTTTACCAACGAAATGGTATGTTGGATTTTGGAAGAGAGAATGTTGGGAACGACATATCCATCCTGCAGAATTTGGTATGTAGTGTGGTGGACATGGCTATCAAAGAGATATGCACTGCTTTGCTCAGATGTTCGCTTGCAGTTGCCTGAGGCTTGTGCCAAGCCACATTGGTGAATGAGCTCAAGAGTTTTCGAAGAAGGCATCTTTTTGTGGCTATCTCTCTCTCGGCATTCATCACACAGTCATGGAGGTGCTGAACCAGTTGCTGCAATAGAGCCAAAGAATTTCCAGTTGGTGGTCGTTCTGGGAGTTCTCTTCTTAAACTTTGCAGCCCTTTCTCCCCACTCCATGAAGTAGAATTTTGCACGAGGGTGAGACAGTGGTTCGATCCCATTTGGAATTTTGGGACAACAGCGACATTGGTCAGGCAAAACCATCGATTGAATATGATGTGGTCAGTTTTGTTGTGGAACCATCCACCGGTAGACTCCCATGTCCAATGTTTAGATTCGGCCTTCTGGAACTGTGAGTTACCATGGATGGTCTTAGTCGACATGATGAACTCAGACAGTCTCTCATCCTGTTTGATCCACTCTAGGCCATGGGTCCCCATGTGGAGTTTTTTGGCTGATCTCTTGGTCATTAAAATCTTGTCATTTTAATCTTGTCATTTGATCTTGTCATTTAATCTTGTCATTTGATCTTGTCATTAAAATCACTGACAGTCATCTTTAGAAGGTGTGATCTTCTTTATAGAACTTTTCCAGCTCCATGTAGAACTTCTCAATTTCTCCTTCATTAAATTGGATGTTGGTGCATAGACAACAAAGATAGAAACTGCTGGCAGTGAGCCACATCTATTCAAGTGTAATTGTCCAATTCAGGTTGTTAGGCATTTGAATGAATCAATGCTCATGGCCAAGTTTGTGTTGACAAAGACATTGACACCACCGACACCTCTTTTGTCGCATGTTCCGAGGAACAGTTCTTCTCCAGTGTAGAAAATGGCGTGATATGATTGATGCCTTCTTGTCTTGGTCAGACCAATGACGTCGTACTTGATCTTTCTCGCTTGTACCATCAGGTCCTCGATGGGTGCATCCGATTCCAGCGTACGTGCAAAGTACAGTCAGTCTTTTTTGTCCTTCTTCGTTTTGGCAGCCTAGTTTGGCCTTGAGGTTTTATCAGCCTCTCCTTCCTCATCCTTCTTAACGCTACCATTTGGTGGCTCTTTCAGAATCAGGGGAATGACACCCATTGTATTTACTGGCTTTGGCATATCGAATATGCCACAGATAGCTTGCCAGGCTCTGCTGTGCAGTGGGATATTCTCCGTAGCTTGCCAGGCTCTCCGAGAGGGATAGAGCTTTTAGGGCGGCCTCTAATTGCCCTTGCAAGTGTTCCCATGGTTCAAACCATATTTGAACCCTATCAAATATGGTGCAGTAAGGTGTCTTATGATGTGGCGTGGGGGTGGGGGCTGGCAGGAGGGATACTGGGGACAGTGGTGGTAGGAAATGTACCTATCTGGAAAGCATCTTGGTGGCGGCTGGGAAGTGGAGATAGTGGAGGTCTTCCGATGATGTATTTATCTGGTACCGGTAGGGTGGTTCTTCTGTGTGTAATCCCTGGGTCACCGGAGGTTGGTGGAAGCAGCAGGGCAGGCTAGGTTGGGGCTTCTGGTTTTAATCCCTTGGTCGCTGAAGATTGGTGGGAGCAGGCAGAGGTTTCCATTGAGCCTAGAGTCCAAGGTCACAGAGATCCACTTCCCTGGTTCTGTGGGGCTTCACTCATGTGTGAGTCTCAGCCCAAGCATTCGGAAAGCGTCCTGGAGCATAGGACGGGTAGTGGAGGTAGTGGAGCTTTATGCATATGAAACAAATTAATCCTCTGTACCTATTCTCATATGCCTGTCATTCTCTCTCCTGTGTTTTAAGTCTATGTAGTTTTTTTTCTAACAATCAGTAATGTCAAAAGGTAGAATCTGTAGGTACCAGTTCTGATCATTCTATTTCAGTTATAACTACATGGTACTTCCCATCCATAGCTAACTTTGACTAAGAGTGTTCTTCAATCATCAGTCTACATGCCAGTCAACAGGTGTGGAAAGTTTAAAAACGACTGATCTGCAAACATGGTGCCTCTCAGTATCTGTATTGCATAATGGCCAAAAGTAGAGAGAGAAAAAGAAGAAAAATGCCCATAGAGGCAGGCATGGGGGTGGGGGCTGGCAGGAGGGATACTGGGGACAGTGGTGGTAGGAAATGTACACTGGTGAAGGGATAGGTATTGGAATGTTGTATGACTGAAACCTGATCATGAACAGCTTTGTAACTGTATCTTACAGTGATTCAATAAATAATAAGAAAATATCTATAAAGTATTGAACAGCCAAAAAAGAAAAAAATAAAAAGCACTAGTCTGTGACCTTACCTATAACGGCTGGTTATAAAACCAAGTTTTTAGATAGAATTTAAGTTTACAGTGGAAAAGTGGCAAATCTAGGACTCAGTCCACATCTATCTGATCCCATACATGTATTCGTTATTCTTTCAGTTTTGAAATTCTACCTTCCCAGATGGGTGGAATACAGATAATATGTTTTTGTTTATCTAACTTAAAAGACCAAATTTTTATAGCGAATAGAATTTTAACCTCATAGTCGTGTTTTATCAGTGGTTTTCAATACTGGCTGCATATTAAAGTAATCTGGGAAATATTTAAATGAAAAACAGTTCTTGAGTCTGGTTTCAGAGATTTTGACCTTTAAAAGTCCAGGATAATTTGGGTATCCAAAGTCAAAAGCACACATCTTTGAGATATTTGAGACTGATGGATCTCTTCATTTCATTCCTATCAACCCAGCTTTACACCACCCACTGATATATTTAAGAGCTCATGTAATAAATTTCTCTTGTTGAGAAAAAAGTCCCCATTGTGCCTCTCTACTCAAAGCACTGATTCTTATTTCTGACTCATTTCTAAGTATCTTACTATAAGTTTTGCAAAAGTCAAAAGCGCATATAAACACTAGAGTCTCTTCATTGTAGACTTTTGACCTGTTGTATTGTTAATACTATCTTTGCATGTGTAATAGACTCTGGCAGCGGGTAACTCGAGCCATAAATGCCAAAGACCAAACAGAAGCCACTCAAGAAAAGTGTGTTTTAGAAGAAGCTCAAAGACAGTCCGCCAGAGAACGGAAAACTAAGAATGAAGAATGGAGTTGCAAATTATTTGAACTTGATTCACTCACAGGAGAATGGCATTATAAGTTTGCAGAGTAAGTAATTAAAGTGTAATATAGACAATATATCAACATAGTTTGTTGCCTTTTATTCCAAATTTTTATAATTACTTAGCGGATTTTAGTAAGCCATTTGTGTTTATGCATGTATGATTTCAAATTTACTGTTCTTCTTTATCCATTTGACCCTATGTAATTAGTCATCCTAATAAGTTGAGGAATAGGAGGTTAGATAGGACAACTTATTCTTATAATTATTAATGAAAATCTAATAGTTGAATATAAAGTTCTTGGAAACTTTTCAATTTTTTTATTTAGCCACTAAACAAGTAATTACAACTGGTCTCATCCACCTGACCCTGACCCACTAAACAAGTGGTATTTTTAGTTTCTTATTTTTTGTTTTTTATTTTTATAGTACTCGACCATGGGACCCACTTAATGATATGGTACAGTTTGAAAAAGATGGTGTTATCCAGACCAAAGTGAAACATCGCACCCCCATGGTATGTAATAACAAAAGTAACTAGCTCTGGGAGGCATATAATTTATCCAAAATCTTAGTATGAGTCACCAACACTCAAAATTTGGTTTTCAAATTTTTTAAGTTTTGTGCCAGCAAAATAGAATAGGCAGCTCTAAGCTCTTATCCTCCCAAAGAAGCATAAAAAGTAAGCTGAAACTCTTACTTGCCAGGGTTCTGGGAAACAGACCTTTGCAGCAACTAAATGAATGGACTCAAGGAGAATGACTTCAGAGCAAGAGGAAAAAGTTTTGTCATTGTTACTTGTCCAGAGTGATATAACAGCTATAGTGAAGGGTCCACATATTACCAGCTGGAGAAGAAGAGATCTTATTCACTGTGAATGTCTCTTCTGACCTCCCTGGGGTTTTCCTGAAGGAATCTTGCAGGACTCACATTTCTACTTTGTCTGCCTCACAGCTTAGTAAGAAAAGCTGCATGCATTGGTTCAAAGGGTAAAGCAAACCAACAACAGTCTGCGGCCATCTAGAGCAGAGATAACTTTTCGGAAACAAAAAAATAGAGCTTCCCAGAAATCTGTCTTCTTTAAGTAAACAGGAAGCGCGCCACTGCCAATTGAGTGGGGACTCAATTGCATCCTAAGATACCACTGCCCCTCTGGATTATTCCAGCACTCTACAGATGATAATATCACTTTAGTAATAGTTGAAGCCCTATAGCAAAAGTACTGTTGGAACAAGTCATAAACCATGTAAGACCTATGAACTCAAGAAGGGGAAAGAGTGTTTGGGAAAGAAGGGCATTACAGAGTCCCATGTAGAGAGAATTGAGGAAGTTATGCAAATGCTAAAGGCAAGATATATTACTTATGCTCAAAGAAGACATGCAAAAACCCTAGTCGTTAACCCTAAGTTAAAATGTAGCCTCAGTGTAAGCCAGTGTAAGTGTTGAAGGAGTAACCCCTCCCACACAGCTCATACAGTCAGTATGTGGTCTTGAATATGCACATAGAGTTAAAGGAAACAGAGACAAACTACTGAAGGAAATCAAGAAAAAGATGTATAAAATGAGAAATATCAACAATAAAATAATAAGTATCAGTAAGAAGAAATTTGTATAAAGAAATCAAGCAAATTCTGGCACTAAAAAGTATGTTAACTAAGGTGACAAATTCACTAGAGATATTCAGGAATCAACATAGTTACATATAGGACAGCTAAAGAAAAGAGAGACAGTGAACAGAGACTCCGTGAACTTTGTAAAACTATCACGTGTCAGTGAGTCCCAGAAAAGGGCCAAAAAAATATTGGGAGAGAGCCTACAAATACTTAGTTTTGATATGAATCTACAAATCACATTAGAATAAACTCGGATTCATCAAAATAAAATAAACAGAATGTCAAAAGACAAAAATGACAAAGGGAGAACATTAAAAGCAGTAAGAGAGAAGGAACTTGTTACATATGAAATCCTCCACCAGTTTAATACATTTTATTTTTATCAATATAATAATAATTAATAAAGCTATTAATAGCCAGATTCTTATCAGAAACCACGGAATCCAGAAAGTGCATATTTAAAGTGCTAAAAGAAACTCCTTGTCAACTGATAATTTGTTATCCAGCAAATTGTCCTTTAAATGCAGGGAGAGAAATTAAAACATTCCTATTAACAAAGACTGAGGGAGTTAAGGACAGCATATCACTGTCTTGTGACCTCAAAGCAATTCCACAACAAGAAAATCTAAAACAAAGACTCAACTACATACTTGAACACCAGCGTTTATTGCAGCATTACTTTCAATGTGCAAAGGTAGAAACATTTCAAATGTCCATCAGCATATACACAAAATATGATTTAAAAATTTTTAGTGAGGGCTGGAGTGATAGCACAGCGGGTAGGGTGTTTGCCTTGCATGCGGCCGACCCGGGTTCGATTCCCAGCATCCCATATGGTCCCCTGAGCACCGCCAGGAGTAACTCCTAAGTGCAGAGCCAGGAGTAACCCCTGTGCATTGCCAGGTGTGACCCAAAAAGCAAAAAAAAAAAAGTTTTTAGTGAAGCAAGAAAACTTTTATTCAACAAAACTTACTTAGAAAGATGGAAGGGGAAAGAAAAAGAGGAAATACATATTCAAGACAGAGCACAGACTTCTGCAGAGTGAATATCCAAGCAAGCAAAGGTACATGGAGAAATAGCAAGTGAGCTCTGTGTTCAAGGGAGAAAACACAGGCTTGAAGAGCAAGCCAATATATGGTATATTACTCAGCCATAAAAAGGGAATTAAGCCTTGTTCCATGCAATGACATGGATGAAATTTTAAAATTTTGTGCTAAATATACCACAGAAGGACAGTATTATATGATTCTACTTATGTAAAATATCTAGAATAGGAGAATTCATAGAAATATTTGAGTATAGTGGGAAATGAAGAAAAGAGGAAATGGGGAGTCATTGCCTAGTAATTAATGGGTTTTGTTTGGAAATAGTGATGGTTGCACAATATTGCTTATTCTACTGTACACTTAATGGTTAGAATGCCAAATTTTGTGTTACCACAACTTAAATTTTTTTTTAATTTGTTTCTTTAACAAACTAACATGATAGCGACACACAGTACATCTGTTTTCTGCAAATGGTACATTTACTGAAAACAATAACTCTATCCTGAAAGTTGTATTTCTGACTCCTTTGCTCATGTCAGTTTCATACCAGTCTTCATCAGTCCTTGTTTTGAACATACTCAATAAATGTGGATTTGAAATCTAAAGGTTATGAAAAGGTTTTAACCTTTTAACTTGTAGTAAGAGGACACAATTCAGTGTAAGCTAAATCTGGAACTTTGTACTTATTTTCTATAATAAAATTGTAAAAATTTCACTTAAAGCACATGAATAAGGTTTTGAAAAATTATTTCAAGCCATATCACCACAACCACTTTTGAATTTTTTAATTTGGGAGCATTTACTCAAATTACTGGCCAATCTCTAGGATAGAAAGAAGCTAAAATTTAATATTCTATAGAAAGCATAGCCTGGTTAATGGTTTGATAAATTTTAAGAACTTGTATATGTACTCAGTTGCTTTCAGTAAGTTTACATAATGCTCTTTAAAATCATTTCCATTTATAAGATTCATTTTTGTCATACACTAAAAGAAATCTAAATAATTTTATTGGAAACACAGTAATTCATTGGGAATGTTTCTTATTGGGAATAAGATAATTAAAAGTTAATTATGATTTTTTTTAATTACCATTTAGCATTCAACTAGAGTGGGGATCATATTTGAATGTGCATAAATTTGGTGGGGAGAAACTACAAAGACAAGGGACAGAATTGGGAAACTCAGTAATTCAATACTTCTGATATTTAGGTCAAATTAATTTTTCTTTTTAAACTTAATAACTTGTATATTTTTTCTAATTTATTAGGTTTCATTCAGTTTTATTATTTTTGTTTCCAAATATTGTGTCTAAATGGGTAGTTTTGAAGGTTGTACAATAGTGGCATTAATTACATTTTTTTTTCTACTTAGGTTAGTGTCCCAAAAATGAAACATAAGCCAACCAGGCAACAGAAGAAAGTGGCAAAAGGATATTCTTCCCCAGAACCTGATATCCAGGATTCATCTGGAAGTGAAGGTAAAAGTATTTATTTTTAGACCAGTTTTAAAAGATGCTATTATACTGTGTTTGGTATATGAAAGTAGTATTTCATAATAACTTGAGAAAATATGTAAAGTTTTGGTGGGGGCAAAAATGGTGTGCAAAATAAGGTGTGTTGTAAATAAATTTCAAGGACTGAAGAGTTAGTACAGTATGTAGGATGTTTTCCTTGTATGTGACCAATCCAGTTCAGTCCCTGAGATCGTATTTGGTCCTCCAAACACCATAAGGAGTAATTCCTGAGCACAAAGCCAGGAATAACCTGTAAGCATCACTAGGTCTGGCCCAAAACCCAAAAAATTAAAATAAATAAAAAGACTAGGTCACAATATATTCACAATGTATAAGGAAATGTGCAAATCAAGAACTATGCTGCATGTAGCAGTTCTTTATGCCTCATCAGTTTTTGAAAAATTGAGGGATGATAGTTCACTAAATTCCATTTAGGAAGTTTTTTTGTTTGGCTGGTTGATTTTTGATGTTTTGCTTTTGCACTGTTTTATGTTTCAGAAAAGTTACGTTCTGAAGTCACATACAAGAAAAATTTTAGGTATATCAAAATTATGGAGTTTACTGTGTGCTAGTTTTCTTTCAGTCACATATAAACCTTCTTTAATAATATTATATAAGGGCTGGAGCGATAGCACAGCGGGTAGGGCGTTTGCCTTGCACTCAGCCAACATGGCCAACACAGGTTCGATTCCCAGCATCCCATTTGGTCCCCCGAGCACTGCCAGGAGCAATTCCTGAGTGCATGAGCCAGGAGTAACCTCTGAGCATCGCCAGGTGTGACCCAAAAAGCAAAATAATAATAATAATAATAATAATAATAATATATAACTAGGAAAGGGTTTATGTTTTAGATCTTATGAAAAACCTTTAAGCCATAACCTTTGCTTAGCTCACACTGAGTTGAGTAACTCAGTTTTACAAAAATATAGTAGAGTGAACAAGTAATAAATGCATAGAACACGGTTGCAAGGAGTAATCTCTAGATTTTTTATAAAATAATGCCTAAGTACATTTTAATTTTTCTAGGATTCAATTATAGATTATTTACAGTTAATTATTTTTGCCAACTTTTCTGTAAATGCCTTTTATGGTTTTTTTGTATTGTTTTGTTTTGTTTTTAGCTCAGTCACTCAAACCAAGTACAAGAAGAAAGAAAGGGATAGAACTTGGAGATATTCAAAGTTCAATTGACTCTATAAAACAAACACAGGAAGAAATTAAAAGGTAACATATATGAGCACTAACAGTAAAAGAAGTTAAATATCTTGTTATGTAAGAAGCCATACATGAGCTTTCTATTTTATAATATTTTTAGATCCAAATACAAATTTAGTTTTTATTATCTTATGATTAAGACTTTAAATTCCTTTAGCAGTATTATATTGGAGCAGAGGAGAGGTGTTTTCTCACATCTATGAGAGTAAAATTGGATTTTTTCTCTTGCTGTAACATACTAGGACTGTAGCTGAGTTCTCTGTTGAAATAGTTCTTCCTGCCTCTCCAGAGTGTACTGTTCTCTTCATCTTTTTCTCTTTTACCTATCAGGAATCTGTTTCTTGGATTGCCCATCTCAATCTGTCCGTTATGAAAGTCCCTGTTGATCTTTCAAATCATAACTCAAGTGCCACCCTTTGTGTAATATTTCTTATCGCTTGCCCTGCTCTATGGAGTTCATTTATCTGTCTGCTCAGTTTGTGTAGCTCCCTATCCATCTTTGGAGCACTTTACTCCATCACAAAGTTACTGTATTATTATATCAGCCCCAGTGGGTCATGAACTCCTTTAGACTCTTCTTGTCACCAGTACTAATTTCCTAATTATATAATATCCATAAATTAGTCCTGTTTGCCTCCTTTCATTTTCTTTACTGTCAAAACACTTTAGTAGAAGTCAGGGAAAAAAAAAAAACCATCTTCACTAATTAACTCTTTTTAGCCAGAAACACATAGGGTGGCATGAAAATAATATGTCAATTTCATGACTAAGAATTTTTGTTAGCATAAGAAGTGCCTATAAATATTCTTTAAGTTCATTTAGTTATTTTTTCCTGGAGAATTTAGGATGTTTTTTCAACCCTACCTCTGTTTCCCTGGAGATAAAAGAACTTTAATGTCAATTAAGAAGCAAAATTTTCAGTTTAAAACAATTGGATAAGAGAGATGATTAATTCTACAACATACAACCTTATGCTGTATGTTTTATGCGTATAATTAATGCATATATTTGGTATATAGACATAGTACAATCAGCTCCCCATTTTGGTGGTAATAATTGAACTGGTTACTTTAGATAATTAAGTGCTGTGTGACCATGTATGAAGTTATGCATACTATGCTAATGTTTTGATAATTATAAAATTTATTATTGTTATTTTTGTAGAAATGTTATGGTTCTTCGAAATCACTTCATTTCAAGTACACCTGCCACGGATTATTTCCTGCAACAAAAAGACTACTTCATCATTTTTCTCCTGATTTTGCTTCAAGTTATAATAAACTTCATGTTTAAGTAGAAGTTCTTTAGTTGATTCAGTGAAGTAGATCTGGACTGGGACCAATGTTCAAGTTCGTTGGTCTTTATCAGAGCATCACATTTCTAAAACAAAAACCTTAGAAGTACACATAGAGGTATTGACTTTTCATACCTTTCATCCTTAATGGAAAACAAGAGCTGTTCTCTTAAGGGTTATTAAAGTGAGCTATATGTTAAGTGCCAGAAAATTTCTAGCTTTTGTGAGAATGTGTCTACGTGTGATTATAATAAATCCACATGTACGAACACAGTTTTGTCTTATGTATACCTGACAGTAGTCTTTGTATTCTGTAGTATGTTCTAGACTATAGCATTAATGTTGTTCATAACAAAATGCTATCAATCTTATAAATACATGTATAGTAATCTGTTTTCTTCAAAAACCTTTATCATAAGGAAATATGAATGGGAACTGATGGTATAGTAGATATTATCAGTAGTTGAGTAACAACTTAGAAACTCATTTCCAAAGCATTGAGCTTAGTTGACTTCTGGGAAACAGCAAGGAAAATATATGGTCAAAATATACATTTTAAGGGAAAGAGATGGCATCTTGCTTTTTTTAAAAGTTTACACAATATTTTTTTAACCCCTAGAATTTAATATTACAGATACAGGTATGTGTATGTATGTGTATATCAATATGAAAAACAGGGGTGCAGCTATTTGGATCTATTGACTATACCTTTCTTATACATATATAATTACCACTCGCAGTTCTTGCTAAAAAGTGTGGTTAAAATTGATTGCTGTTCTTCATTATTTTTGGTTTGAATTCAGCTGGTCCATGATGTAGACCACACTGTAGAAATGTTTATAGGGCAATGATATGCTGATAATTCATGTTTTTTCATAATGAAAAACTTATTTAGCATTTATTTAGGCCCAGATGTATTGAATAAATTATGGGATAGAAAAAAACAATATTTATTTCAAAAAAAGGCGTGTAAGAAAAGATATTTAGTGTAGTGCCATTTATATATACATTTAAATTGGTTTCTTTAAAATGTGCAATAAGTTGAGTAAGAAGAGCATCAAGTTCTGAAGTTTAATTCTTTATTACCTTCTCTATTCTTAGTTCAGTATATGGCTAAACACAATTTTTCAAGATTCCTTTTGTTCAAACCCAGATTTTTTCTTAAGTATTGTTGTATTTTTTAGTTTACTATTTTTACCTTTTTACATAAATATAGTTTTTAAAAAACAAGTTTTTGCAAATGTAGTGAGGCTTAGGTACATCTTCCTAGGACATCTTAGAATCATGAAAATTTCTGTTTCAAAATGATTATTAATAAAAAATGAAGTTCAGAAAAAATAATTGTTTTGGCTACATTTGCCTTTGACTAAGAAGAAACTGTGAGGTACTAATAAAGCTATAATCAACTGTTTACACCATAATAAATGAATATATGGTCACCAAACTATTACTAAATTAAGAAAATTAAAAGTGCTTAAGAATTTTTTAAGAGCCTGGTCCCCACCCCCCCACCCCAACTAATAGTAGCTATTTCCTTAAGGCTTTATGAAGAGCAGTTTCCTATAGGCAAACCAGTGCTGTAATACATACATGTGAAAACATTTTTTAAACTGATATATAAATAAGATGTATCTATCCCCTGCATAAGAACAGATGGGGGGGTTGTTTGTATTTCATACTTGTCAATATAATTTTTGTACTTGCTTTCTGTTACCAATGTTATGCTCGACTGCCTATTCATATTTTTTATAAATATTGTACAATTTTATCTTTCTATGGTTTAAATTAGTATTAATTTAAATTACATATCTAACTACATTGACTGATCAATAAAAACTCATTTTGTGGAGTTCATGCACAATTCAATCAGCCTAATTAGTGGCTGAATAAATAGCAGTACTCCTACATTAAAAAAAAAAATTTCATTAATAGGCCCTGAAAATTTAAAATTGGTGTTTCCATTTGTGTATGGATTATCTTCCAAGGCTAGAAGAGAAAGTTTCTTCTTTACTTTTAAATTTTCTTTTTAGGGCAGATATTGTGGGTCTTAATACCTACTGATTCAAAAACTGTTCCATGAGAAAAAGCAGGGTTACTCAAGACTGTTTCTTATGCACTAAAAGTATATTTCGAATCTAATTGTCTTCTTATGCTTTTAGTTGTATAAATTCCTTTCTGTGAAATGAACACAAAACTCAGGAATTGGTGGTTTAGTTTTAGATCATTGCTTATGCTAGACTAAGTATGCGAATCCTTTAAACTCATTATTTTATATTTAGCCATATATGTAATTGACTATGAATGTTCTACCTGAGTTTTAATTTTCCTTCATACATGAAATCAAAAAAAGTTTGTGATTTACAGTTCCCTGTTGTCTGAAAGCCTCGTGATGGTTTTCCTAGGATTTAAGACCTTAGACCAGTTTTTCATTTAATTAAAAATTTATTTTTTCACATGAAAATTTAAATGAATAATAAATATTGACACGTGAATTTGTTTTATTTGTTAAATGTACAAAGCCTTCAGTTACCCAACATTTAATGAGATGTAGCTGGCCCAGGAGAAGACAAAAATAGGGCATGTAAAATAGGTTTTAGCAAGAGATATTTTACTTGTAATTCATATCAGCACATTTTTGTATCACTTATAAAGGTACAGTGTAATCTTTGTCACCATTCCATTGAAAAAGTTGGCCTTGTAAAATACAACCCTCATTTAGTATTCACGCTTTTGTGCCTTTAAGAAATACTTCTGTCATTTTTTTGTTACAAAACTGTAAGATTCAAAGTGTTTATGGGCTTGTCATAAAAGGGTCATTTCTTTGTCACTTTATTTCATTTTATATATTGCTATAGTTTAAATAGTAATGCTGTACTTTTATAAGGGTTTATCTATTTACATATTTCAAATATATCCTTCTTTCAGACATCATCGAAGTAGATTTGTCAGATTCTTGGTATTGTAAACAGTGCCTTTTCAATGGAATTCATACTGTTTTTGCGTGTCAACTTGTGCCATATACACACAAAATTCTGTGGAAGACAGTTTTAACTTTTTGAAGAATGTCTTAAAATATTTAAGAAAGCAAATATGTAATACTTCATTTTTTCCAGTGGTTTGGCATTTCTAATGAGCGGTCAATATATTTGAGGGGTTTCTGTTTTACTTACAGTGATGATGGCATTATTGATGAGCCATATGTGACAATATTATTTTGAATTATTTTAATGTACAAATAAAATTAGCATTCATACTACCAAAATTTCCAGTTAGATCCCATGGGGAAACCCTGCAAATTAATCAGTAAGTTTACATTTCAGCTTATTTGACCGTATGTAAGAAGAGATTCTTAAAGTATACAACTTGCCATTATTAATTTGGTTTCATTTTTGTTTACCTATAATGTGTGAATTTATTTAATTTACTTTTTGTTACTCTTAACATACTGTTTTTTTACAGTTTTTAATTGAAGATGGACTGTTAACATTGTATAGGACCAGTGTCTACATAATGATTAACATTTAGAAAAGCCACAAGAAACCCATGACAAAATGAATGTGAATTACTTTCTACTAAACTATTTAGAAAATTTATCTTTCTGCATTGATCATGTAAAATTATTTTAGTTTGATATTAAAATTTAGTGAAAAATGCCACAACACATTTGAACCGATGAGCCACAGAATTTCAGTTGAAAAATGTTTTCACTTTTTAGCATGCTAAATATACATCTAAATTAAATACTCTGTTAAATGGTCATTTATAAATTCAAACACTACCACTGGTCAGTTTTGTATAATAGAGTAAAAGTATGTTACCTGCAGTGTAAGTACAGCACACTGTCAAATTCTTTTCCTTAAGGTGCATAGCAAATGTACAGATAGTCATAGGCTACTGTTTTGTAATGTATTGTTTCTAATCTATATTCCTAACCCATTATCAATGTTTGAAGAGACAAAAGCATTGAATTTTTATAATGATCTGTAAAATTATGCTAACTTCTACAAGTAGGCATTCTAAATAAAATTTTAAAGAATAAGTTGTGATCAAATGATTTTGAATATAACATGGTGATTAAATTTCATAGGTCTAATTTTGGGATCTTTGGGTTTTTGTTTTTGAGGGAAATCGCTTTGAAGGATGATGAAGGGTTAGAAAGGTTTTAACACTTAGAATCCCTGGTGTGTGCTTTATATTCATTCTTCTTGAATATTCATAAAAACCTTATATGGAAGTTAGCCCGATTTTATAGACAAAGGATACAAAACTTAGAGTGAATTCCAAAAACATGGTAAAACAATAGTGAACACACTTATGAATCCACGGCTGACTCCATTATCCTTTCTCTTTACACTCTACACTTCAAATAGAACTGTGTCCTAACACAAAATGTTTGGAATAAGCCATTGTCAGATTTAATAATTAAGGAATAGGATCCTTTTGTGACTGGTGGAATCATAAAAACAAACAGGAAATTTCGCTCGTCTAAACCATATAAATCAGATTGAGTTTAAGAAATGATTCCTCTCCGCTTTCCCCCATCGTTCTCTCTCTTCATCACCAATTGCTTCTAGCATTTAGTTCTAACTTACAAATTAAGGGGTGGGGGAGAATAGAGCAGGCTTACAGGTTTCTCCAGTGCATAGGATAAACAGTATGGAAAACAGATCCTCATTATTCAACCTCAAACACTTTCTTATAGTAATAACACTCCACTAGGTGCCCTTTGTTTTACTATTGAATTTAAAGGACTCTTATGGAGGTAGTTGTATATGTGGTGACATATCAGTAGTTCTGTGGGCCTGTGATATTTGACCATCTAGTCCTTAGGCACAATGCAAAGGCGAAGAAAGCACTTTGTTGATGTTCAAAACTTGACAAGAATTTATATATATATAATGATATATAATAATATATAATGGAGCGATAGCACAGCGGTAGGGCGTTTGCCTTGCACGCAGCCAACATGGCCAACCCGAGTTCGATTCCTCCGCCCCTCCCGGAGAGCCCAGCAAGCTACCGAGAGTATCTCACCCGAACGGCAGGGCCTGGCAGGCAAGCTCCCCGTGACGTATTCGATATGCCAAACACAGTAACAACAAAGTCTCCAATGGAGACGTTACTGGGCCCGCTCGAGCAAATCGATGATCAACGGGAGGGCCTTTACTTACTTATACACACACACATTTAATATGCTAGGCTGGAGCCATACCACAGCGGGTAGGGCATTTGCCTTGCACAGGGCCGACCCAGGGACCCGGTTTGATTCCTCTCAGGGAGCCCTGCAAGCTACCGAGAGTTTCGCGCCCATAGGCAAAGCCTGGCAAGCTGCCCATGACATTGATATGCCAAAAAACAGTAACCAGTCTCACAATGGGGACGTTACTGGTGTTTGCTCGATCAAATCGATGAACAACAGGACAGTGCTACTTAATAGCTAAAACAATATATGAGGCTACTTGCTGAATGTCACAGTTACGTAAGTGGCACAGCAAAGCCTTACTTAGCCATGTCATTAATATATCAACGTGTTCTTTGTGCCAAAGAAGCTTTGCTATGACTTTATTTTGCTGCTCCCTTCCGACCTCCGTCCCCTGCTTTGGCTCACGCAGGGGTGCCCAGGATTGATCCCAATAGGTACTTGGGACCATCTACAGTGTTGTAGCTGCAAGTGCCTTACTCTCTCTCTCTTACCTGGCCTTTGTGTCTTAATAGAGAGATTACCCAATTAATGCGGATGGGTCTACAAGTCCGTTGCCTCTACTACAGGGGGAAAAAAGAGCCAGGACGGTGGCTGGGTGTTAAAAGCGCTTGCTTTGCATGCGTGAGTTCCTGACATCGCAGGAGAGAGAGCCCTGCGCACCAAATTAACTCCGGGTGCAACCCCCCAAAACGACAATGAATAAATAAAGTAAGTGGTGCCTGGGATTCTGAGGCACCTGGGATTCTGATTCTGAGGCATTCTGGGATTCTGATTCAAAGCACAAAGCTGCAGCCTAGTGTGACCAGGCCCTCCCCTGCTGTTCTGCATCCCCAACAGCATTCCTAATAGGAAGAGCAACTGATGGGGAGTTGTGCGCGTCACTTGGCATGTCTGTGCACCACAGATTTTGCTAGGAGCAGCTTTGAGGGGAGGTGAAGGACGAACTCTGTCCTGGCGGTGCACACTGCCGACTTCAGAAGGAAATTTTGGGGGTCTCAGGGATTAGATGGCAGCGGAAACCACTGTGGGGGAATGATTTCACCAAAGGAAGCCGAGACGAGCGAGCAGATATCTGATTCAGAGACTGCCCCCCAGGAAGTTCGAAGCATTCTTTGCGGAATAATGGACCGAGACCCCTCAACAGTCATAATAGCAGAAGGGCAGTTGCTTCACCCAACCGAAAAATGCCCGGTAGCACAAACTTCCGCTCTTATGCCCGCCTTTTCCGCTAATGGCCCCGCCCCCCGACCGGTGTGGCGGCCAGTGACCGGAAATGGAGCACACTCAAGGTGCTATGGCAACGGGGGCTTCTGTGAAGGTGGCGTTGCAGGTGGCGGAGGTCCTGGAAGCCATCGTGAGCCGCTGCGTGGGGCCCGAGGGGCGTCAAGTTTTGTGTACGAAACCCACCGGCGAGGTGCTGCTGAGCCGGGAGGGAGGCCGCCTCCTGGAGGCGCTGCACTTAGAGCATCCGATAGCCAGGTATCCGCGTCCCGCTTAGAGCCCACAGCTGGGCACCGGCAGGCTATTAACTTGAACTTTTTGTCCCTGGAAAACTGAGCGTGCGTGAGATGTTTGCAAGCTAGGGTTAATGCATGATCGATAGAAAAACTTTCGGTCGTCAAATTTTGGAAAAAATTCCCAGCGCTTCTCACTCCCCATCCCCTCCCAATCCTAGAACTTTGGAATAGAAGGAACGAAAAAAAAAAAAAAAACTAAAGCATACTACCATATTCATTTTATATCTAGAGTTATGAAAGCATGGTTTCGACTTGAAACAGATGCACAAAAGCAACCTGCTGAGTGTCTTAGTTGGTTTATTTTTTTTTTTTTTGTGCAGGATGATGGTGGCATGTGTTTCCAGTCATCTAAGGAAAACAGGAGATGGTGCAAAGACATTTATTATCTTCCTTTGCAATTTGCTCCGAGAACTAAATGCAGTGACAGACAAAGCAAAGGATTCTTTGATTTCCAAAAATATTCAGACCCACGAAAGGCATTGGAAAAATTGCTGTCAGTGGAAATTTATTTCCCAAGCTCTTCTGACTTTTCAGACAACAGTATTAGACTACATTATGGATCAATTCTTAAGTAAGCACTTTTTGTCCATCTTCTCTTTATCCACTAAAGAAAGAACATTGTGTAGGAGCTCCTTGTCATTGCTTTTAGAAGCTTACTTTTGTGGGAAAGTGGGAAGAAACTGTCACAATTTTATTTCACAGTTGATGAGTGGCTACTTTTTCAAGTGCACATCTGGTGAAAGTGGATTTGAGGAAGTGTTACAGTTAGTGGATGACTGCTTTGTAGAGCTGAACGTTGGTGTAACAGGCCTGCCTGTTTCAGATTCCAGGATTGTAGCAGGGCTTGTGCTGCACAGAGACTTTTCTGTGTACCGTCCAGCAGATGGTGACATACGGATGGTGATTGTAACAGCAACCATTCAGCCTTCTTTTTCAACTTCTGGATCCGAGTTTCTTTTTAGTTCAGAAAAACAGTTTCAGACTTCTCAGCTTTGGATTATGCAGAAGACGGAAGCAATAATGCAATATTTACAGAGTCAGAATGTAAAACTGATTTTATCTAGTGTGAAACAATCAGACTCGGTTATTTATTATGCAGGGCTAAATGGCATATCAGTGATAGAGTGCTTATCCTCTGAAGAAATTTCTCTTATCCAAAGGATCACAGGTATTATTCCATTTGTACTACAGCAGAGCTCTTCACAGTGTGAAATTGCTAACACTGCTCTGGTGAAATTTTGCAAGTCCTTTATCCTCAGATCCAAAAGGTATGTTCATCTTGGCTTGAGTAGCACATGTTCGTTTATACCACACTCTATAGTTCTTTGTGGACCCGTGCAGGGTGTTGTTGAGCAACATAAGAATGCTTTACATGGGGCTTTTAAAATGCTTCAGCAGTTATTTAAACAAGTTGATCTAAGTTATGTAACACATATGAGCGACCAGAATTATGTATCAAGTTCTTTTATTCATAAGAATAGTAGAGAAAGCAGTAAGCCATCTGAAATTACTAATGACTCCATACAAACACTATTGGAAGATACTGCCAGAAGTAACATGGACAAACTGAAAAAAATTCAAACAAACTTTGAAGTATATTCAAATGAGGTAGTTCCAAGGATAGAATTAGAAGCATATAATCCAGGTTCAGCATCAAAAGTGACATCAACAGATTCATACAGGAGTAATGAAACACTGCAGTGTTTATCTCCAAACAAAACCAGGATTATTAACAACCTTGAGCTACTTATTGAGAGTCCTTCTCTTGCTAGTTCAACAACAGAAAATACTAGAACAGAAATTTTTCTTGAAAATTTACAAACCACAGAAGTTACTGAAAAAGAGAGCCTGTTGCCTCTTTCATTTCCAGTGAAATCTGAGTTACTGGAGGAGTATCCTTCCCAGAATTACATTTTCTCATCTATACCAGCAGGTTGTGTTTTGCCAGTGGGTGGTAATTTTGAGCTCTTGTTACATTACTATCTTCTTAATTATGCTAAAAAATGCCAGCAGCCAAGAGAAACCATGGTTGTTAGTATAATAGCTAATGCACTTTTAGGCATACCCAAAATCCTGTGTAGGTCTCGGAAAAGAAACCACAGTTTTCCACAAATGTATATAAGAGCTCTTCATGCACTGCAGGTCAACGAACCAATGGTAAGCAGCCAGACAGGTTTGGAATCAGTGGCTGGTAAATATCAGTTAATTAATTCAGTTCTTCAGTGTTTGACAAAAATTTTGACCATTGATTTGATAATTAATATCAAGAGACAACCTCACAAGATCAATGATCAAGATTCAGAAGATGAATTATGAAATTGGAAGTTTTTATTAAGCATAGCTTTCCAGTTTAAGCCATTAACGCCAAACCTGTATGTCACCACTGACTTTATAAGTCAATTCAATCTAAATAAGAAACCAGCATAACTGTTTTTAAAAAATCACCCATTTTCTTTTCTTTGTCTTTCTCACCCTCCTCCCTTGTCTTTCTGTATTTAGTTGTAGAATCATCTGACTTGGGTGGGATCTTCAAATGCCATCCTATTTTAATTGTTGCATTTTTTTAATAGTGAAAAATTGGTACCTTTTTTTTAATTTAAAATACTTTTATTTTCCTATTCATATGTTCCAAAGCATTGAGTTAAGAGTCTCAAATTTTCTTCCTTGAAAATTGTCCAAATGGGGGGGAGGGAGGGATGCTGGGAGCATTGGAGGTGGAGAATGGGCACCGTTGGAGGGATGAATATTCAATCATTGTATAACTGAAACCCAAGCACAAAAATTTGTAAGTCTACAACTGTACCTCATGGTGTTTCACTAATAAAAATTTAAAAAATAAAAAAAAATTGTCCAAATGACCCAAAAGATAACTTGATGAGTTGAGTACTTGTTTTGCATATAAAATACCCAGGTTCCATCTCTGGTACCACATGATCCACCTGGAGAACTGCTGGGAATGATCTCTGAGACTGGATGAGACCCTCCAAACAAAAAAAAAGTAAAAGCATAAATATTAGTTTTTCATTTCATATGATCCCTTATTTCTATTTCATGTGAAAAAATTAAAATTAATTTTCACCAGCTGCACACCACTAAATGTTACTGGAAATGTTTTCTGCACTGTGAAACTTAATATCTATAGTTAAAATTAATTTCACTTTCACTGTCACTTTCCTCCTGTTATTCATTGATTTGCTCGAGCAGGCCCAGTAACGTCTCCATTGTGACACTTGTTACTATGTTTGGCATTATCGAATACGTCACGGGTAGCTTGCCAGACTTTGCCGTCAGAAAGATTTAAAAATTTAAAAATAAATTTTGAGGTTCTGTGGTTTACAATACTGTTATTGGTAGTTTTCCATGTACATAATTGCAAATACCACACACATCACTAGTGTACCCACCTCCCTCCTCCAAGGAATATGAATTTTATACTTTTTTTAATCTTATCCTTAAGAGCTTGCGAAAGTAATTAATGTGTTTGCTGTTGGTGTGGTTTATATTTATTGTATAGCCAATGTTCAATAATAACAAATAACAATAATATTTTCTAAAGTGAATTTACAAATGTCTATATAGCTTTAAAAGTTTATAAATACAAGTGATAACTGAATTCAGTGTAGATAGAACCTACTGCTCTCTTATGTCTTTATCATCCATGAAATGGTAATAACAGCATTTAGCTCACACAGCTGTGGTGATGATTAATAAAGAAATATAAGAAATAACTAAAAGGACAGTTCAGATAGAAAAGGGAACACCAAATGGAGGGTGTTTGGAGGATCCTCCCAGGAGGGGAGATGCAGGTTGAAAGTAGACTGGACTGAACATGTTTGCCACTCAATGCCTCTTTTGCTGATCACAACACCCAAAAGGAGAGAGAGAACAAAAGGGAATGCCCTGCCACAGTGGCGGGGGGGATGGGGGGATGGGGGTATGGGGGAAGAGGGATATTATCCTGGTGGTGGAAAATGGGCACTGGTGGAGGGATGGGTATTTGATCATGGTATGACCGAAATCCAAGCACAAAAATTTGTAAATCTACAACTGTACCTCATGGTGTTTCACTAATAATAATAATAAAAAAAAAAGTTGAAAAAAAAAAAGAAATACCTAGTTCAATGCCTGTTATATTATCAAGTGTGAACCTTAATAAATAGCATTATTTCTTCCTCAGCTTGGCCATTTTTAACTTCTTTTTTTCCCCAGCCTGTCGGTCATACTAGTTTGTCTGTGCCCTCACAGTGACAGCATGGAAATAGACCTTTGGGATTAATGGTGCCAGCATGGGTGTCCCAGACAAAACAGATATATTTGTTATGGCGCATTGTATTCTCACTCCCCCTCCTTTTTAACCTTGCCATAGTCTCCTCTTAAAATAAGACCTTGACAACCCTAAGGAGTGTTTATTAGGTGTAAAGGTCCAAGTCCATCTTCAGTACAGTGAGTGTGATGCTTGCTTTGCGTGAGTGTGATGCTTGCTTAGCAGACCTGGGTTTGATCTGTGGCACCGCATGTGCTCCGCTGAACATATTCACCCACCAGGAGTGAGACTTTGAAGTGAATCCTTGCATACTTATAATTGAGACATTTTCTTCATGCAAGTTGTACCTATTCCCAGATGAAATTAGTTGATAACAGCAAAGGGAGATAACTTTACTGTTCTATTTGGTCTTAACATATAGATGAATAAATTAATATGCTATTCACTGAAGTGCATTGAGAGCTGGATATAGTATTGACATCTTTCTTGGGGGCTAGAATGGTAGAAAAGCAGATAGGGCATTTACCTGGCATGTGGCAGATCCAGCTTCAATCCTTGGCACTCTATATGGTCTCTCAAGCCCGCCAGAGTGAGAGCTAGGAGTAAAACCTGAACATCGACAAGTATAGTCCAAAACCCAAAAATTAACAAAATAAATCGGCATCTTTTTGATTTGGTTTGGTAAATTGCTGCTGTCTTGAGCCTCTCAAGTGCTGATTCCCTAATCAAGCTCCTCTCAGAAAACCCCTGGGCTAGCTGACAATTCAGATTAATGACTGATTTAGCAAGGAAACATTCAGAGATGGTGTAGGCTTTAGTTAGTGAAGAATTAATCATGCATATAAGTTAAAGTATTTTGAATGTTGGTCCTCAAAACAATATTAAATATGTTAGGAAAAATGATTTTTAAATATCACTATACATACCATTTTGTTTGGGGGAGTCTTCAGGGTGGGTGTTTGAGGAATCGTGTGTCACTTGCCTTGTGCCCCTCTTTTCACATAGCATCACAGCTGCTCCCACAATGAGGCAGCCCTATGACCCACCTGGTAACCTTCCCTATTTTCCACTAGGCTGCTCATAAAATCTTCTAGAGGAATGGAGAGGTAGCCCAATGGCAGAGTGCCTGCACTGCAGGTGTGAGGCTGTCAGTTCTATCCCATATACACCCCACCTGCGAGTGTGATCACAGGGTACTCTGGCACACTGCAAACACCCTACAGCTAAACTGTGCAGTCCTCAGAAAGGACCTAACCCCATGTGCTCACATCACTGTACATTGGGCATGAACTACACATTCCTTTTTTTTCTTTCAGAATGCTTATTATTATTATTATTATTATTTAATCACTGTGCGATACAAAGCTTTCCTCTTTGAGCTTCAGTCATACAGTGATCGATCACCCAACCCTCCACAAGTGCACATCTTCCACCACCAAGGTTCCCAGGATCCCCTCCCCCATCCCACACCTCCCCTTGCCTCTACGTCAGACAATCTCCCCCATACTCTCTTTTGTATTGCTTGTTATGAATAGCATAAGATGTTGCGCGGCTGCAAGACAGGCCGTGTGTTCCTGGAATTCAAAAATTTCAGATAATTCGGGTCTGGAGAAATGTCTGCAGCGAGCCACTCGGTCCAGAGATTCCTTGTATGTCTCTGGATCATGGCCATTAAGGAGCTCAAGTAGCTGCTGGATGCAGTTTGTGGGTGTAACCACATCCAGGGTCCCATAGGGGGTGGGGGGGAAGACATCGCATAAAAGACAGCAAGAGTAAGGGAATGGGGGGAGAAAAAGATTATATATGCATATTCATATATGTGCTTTGTTTTACCTGAAGATTCCTCCATTTCATTCCGAGCTGTAAGGGGAAACAAAGGAATTTACCTACTTGTTGATTCTGGGTGGACTCGGTGCTCTTTCTCTTGGTGAGTTTCACTCCTGTGGCCCATAATAGTGCTGCGGACAGGTAGGCAGAGGGTCCTGGTAATGTTCTTTTGGGGAACAATAAAATTTAAGAAGTGTCCCAAGCTCCTACATAGCCCGAAGTCATGAAAACCACATCCATTTGACTTGCAAATCCTGACCTCTTTGCTCTTTGAAGGTAGAATAATTTTTTTCCCTAGCCCTGATATTTTATTTATTTATTTATTTTGTAAATTTTTATTAGTGAGACACCATGAGGTACAGTTGTAGACTTACAAATTTTTGTGCTTGGGTTTCAATTATACAATGATCAAATACCCATCCCTCCACCAGTGCCCATTTTCCACCACCACTGATCCCAGTAACCCTCCCACCTCCCTTCCCCCTCATCCCACTCTGCCTCTGTGGCAGGTCATTCCCTTTTGTTCTCTCTCTCCTTTTGGGTGCTGTGGTTTGCAAAAGAGGCATTGAGTGGAAATCATGTTCAGTCTAGATTTTAGTTTAGTATGCATCTCCCATCCTGGGAGGATCCTCCCAACATGTGGTGGTTCTTTAATTACTAAAGCCAAGATCCATTCCCTTTTGTTCTCTCTCTCTTATTGGGTGTTGAGGTTTGTGTAAGGTCCCTTGGGACCCCGAGGGAGATTCCAGAGTTAAAACTCTACTAATTAGTAACTCTCCCTTTCCTGCCCCCTCCCTAGTAGAGCCTTAGCTGTAAAGCCCTTCCTTATTTGGATGTAAATTCTGAAACATTTGTTGACTCTTCCTTGCTGGGATGCAAATTCTGAAACCATTTGTTGACTCTTCCCTGTTGGGATGTAAATTCGGAAACCATTTGTTGACCCTTCATCTGTTACCTCTGTTAGGAACTCCTCCGGAATGCAGGTGCCATGAGCTGAGAATCAAAGGGAGCCAGGTGATAACCAAATGTCCGAGTTACCAGATGCCCACTAGCCACAATGCCTATGTATGTAAATGCTGTTCTTTGAATCTGTAGGCTAAGGAGTGATGTACTTTTAAATGGATCGGTTAAGAAAGTATATGTTGTTACAAATCTATTGGCTATGAAATGCAAGGGCTTTGCTGCAACGGCCAGTGAAGGCCTATATAAGATCCCCTTTGAAGAAGTT